CGGGTCCTCCCTGACCGCTTAGAGCACGAAAAACAGATAGCACCCCAAACCGACAGACCCATCTGGACAAAGATAACACCCGAAGCCTACAGACCTATCTGGACTGCTTACAACTGGATTTTGGGTATCTGGGTCCAGGTCCTGCTTTTTGTTCAGCCCTCCTGGAAGGAGGTCAGACCCACCTGGACAATTTAGCGCCCCAAGCCTACGGACCTCTCTGGACAAGACAGCCCCCCAAACCTACAGACCTATCTGGACTGCTCAAACCAAATAACGCCACTGGAGTGTGGGTGCTTGGGTCCAGGTGTTTTTTTTTTCTTTTTTCTTTTAAAAAAGATATATATATATACATATGTATATATATATATATATATATATATATATGTGTATATATATATACATATACATATATGTGTGTGTGCGTTTTAAACAAGTAGCCCTCCTGGAAGGTCAGGGCTGAGGGGGGCGGGTCCTGGAGGGCTGTCCGCCGCTCGCGGGCGTGGGGGCCCCTCGCCTTGGGCCCCGGGGATCGGGGGGGAAGGGCACCGGGGTGTCCAGGACCCGCTGCGAGTTTTGGAGGGGGAGGCACCACCCTGACCTCTCAGGAGGGCCACGAAACAGCACCAGGACCTCGGTACCCTAATTCCGCGCGAGGTCTTGAGCAGTCCAGAGGGGTCTAGAGGTCTGGAGTGCTATTTTGTAGCACTCTGGAAGGTCGGGGGGGAGGGGGGCCAGGACGGGGAGGGTGTGGCCGAGGCCATGGAATCTGCGGGATCTCACGGCCCCCTCGTCTTTCAACACGTTCCCTGACCCGCCCCCCCGAACCCCCCCTGGTCCGCACACCTGCTTCGGGCCAGGGTGCGCGCCTTCCCCCCCTCTTCCTGGCCCCTCGTCTGCGGTGCTCCCGACCGTCCTCTCAAGACCGTTCGAGGCACTGGTAGCTGGCCTTCGGGGGGGCCCCCTCGTCGCCACGGCTGGACGCAGCGCGGAGACCTGGTGCGTTTGGACGCTGGGAGGCTCCAGGGGACCCATTTTGAACCCACAGTGTCTCAAAGCGCCCTGCTCCGATTCATGGTAGAGTCGAGGTTTACGTTTGGGTGTCTGATCATGGGCCCCCCTTCGAAGACCGCCGAAGGCCGCCGAAAGCCGCCGAACACCGTCCAAAAGCCGCCGAAGACCGCCGAAGACGGCTCAGCAGCGATGGGTAGCAATGGGGCCCGTGGTCGAACACGTAGTAAAGTTCGGCGGTCCGCCTTTGGCGGTGGGCGCTGGCCGAGAGCCGCTCGGCGCAGGTCGAGCTTAACGTGCTGCGGTCGGCGTAGCCCTCGTGTTTCCCCGGCTCTGCCCCTCCGGTCGCCGCTGGCGTCGAGGGCTTGTATAGGGCGCGCTCCAGGGAGGGCCTTTTACTTCGAGGGCCGAAGGAGTCAATCTTTTGTCCTCGGCGGAAGGACGGCGGAAGCACAACGGGAGGCGGCTCCGCCGGCGGAGGACCAGCGGAAAGCTGGCGGACGGGAAAGCTGCCAGTTGCCCTCCCACCCTCAGGAGGTGAAAAAAGCACAGACACAATTAATCGTCGATCCCCAGGAAAATATGCGAAAATATGGGAAGTGGGGGGGAAGACGGAAACCCAGAAAATATAGGAAAGTATGGGGAATCCTGTGATTTGTGTGTATTTATTTGTGTGTCCCAGGGCCCCTTTACACACGGACTCTCTAGTTCCCATACCTTCCGACCAGCAGATGGCCAATTCAGTGACTACTTCGAGGGGTTAAAGAACAGCATGAAGAGAAACTGTCGTTGCTCGGAGAGTTTATGTTCATGCCGCTGCTCCCGAGAAAACCACTAAATCAGCCGCCTCCTGGTCGGAAGATGTAGAACGTCGGGAGCCAGGGCAGGAGATGGAGTTGTTTGTTCGGATCCAGGGCTTGCAGAGTCCGCCAGATCACCTTGGGTGCGGGCCCACTGGGGTCTCCCGATCGCCGAGCGCGCGGCAGTAGCAGCGTCTTGCGCGCTTGTGTCTGGCCGCCCCCCCCCGCCATGCGGCCGCCAAAAAGCCACGCACCAAATGTCGATTCTTCCCACGGTCACTCTTCTTGGCATCGCTTGGACGTGTGCATTCTTTCCTCGGCGGGGACCGTGGAGGAGCATCCTGGATCACTTTCGAACGACGCACGCACGAGGTCGCAACAGACAAGGGAAATGGACGTCCGAGCGATGGCAAGTCATGTGTATAGCCGAATATGATCGCGCGCACGTCCACATCCGCGCCTGCGGGCCGTGCCCCAGGATCTGGAGGGCCTCGCGTGGCGATGGTGTGCGCGTGTGGACGTCTGCCCGCTTGGATTTACAGCTCCTCCCTCACACCACCCATCGCTGCATTGACAGTGTGCACGTTATGTCGACAGTGGTCGATCGCAATTCGCACTTCCATCTGCTGCCTGCGGTTGAGGACCCTCTGCGCCGCCGACTTGAAAACGTTGACGTCTGCCCGCCCCTGGAAGGGCGGGAGAGCGTCCGTACTCAGACATCTGATGAGCTGGTTTTGACAATCCGCGGCCCCACAGGTCTCGACCACGTCCCCTGGGACAGTTTCCTTCGACGGTGAAATCCGAAACCCGACCCTCGACGATCAAAGATCCAGGCTGCTCGATGGTTGATTGGGATAAGTTTCGGAATTTGTCGAACACGTGGCGAATCCGAACCCTGCCACCGCCTCGCATCGATTCCAGGAAATTTATGGTTGGTGGGGGTAGGGTTCGGGTGTCCCCGCTTATTTCTGCCCCTGGTCGATTTCTGATGGCCCTGGGGCCCAGGAACGGCTTATGCTGGGAGCCGGAATGATCGACGGATGGCGCTAGGATTGAAAAAGATCAATCCCAGGAGGCTTGGGTCTGCATCGCTCCCCCGAGATCCGACGTTGCGAAAACATCCGCGTCTCGAGATAGCACGACCAGTGCCCATGGAAGCACTTTTCCTGCTGCATGTTTTGGCTGGATCGATCCGTGATGGCCCAGGGCCCAAAGCTGAGCGAAATCGCCACTTGGAGCCCAGGCCATGCAAACGTCATGATTTGTTGATGGCCTGACCCCACAGGTCTCGACCCCGTCCCGGAAACCGGCTTCACATCCCGAGCCGGGGCTCAAGAGACGGGGGTCAATGCAAACGGGGGTCAGCCAGGACATTGGATCCCGCAGGATCCTGCGAAGACCCCCTCTGCCTGACCCGGGTTAGCGAGCCGCTCGTGGCCGCGAGGCGGTTGCGCATATTGGATGACACCCAGGTTTACGAAGCCCTGCATTGCAGCTTTTTGTTCCTGCATTGCAGTTTTTGGGCTTCCTGCTGACCTGGGGCTGATTGACCCGGGCTAGCAGACCCCCGAGCGAGTCGTTCGTGGCTGGTCCCTGCGCTCGGCGAGGACCCTCGGACGCCGAAGCGCCCGAACACCGTCCGTCGCGATTGTGCTCGTCTAGCGCGAACGTGTTTACGGCGGGGGCGTTCGTGAAGGAATGTGCCTAGGAGGCGTCAGGCCCTGGAGGATCCCTTGTCCAATGAGGGCGGCGGTGATGCATCCACGGCCGATCCACGATTGGAGTTTCGCGGGCTTCCAGGCCCTGGATTCGGGTTCCTTATCCAATGCCCACACCGTGTTTACGTCCCCCGGGCGGTGCCAAGGCGAGGCTGCTCCGCGAGCGGGCGGAGGAGTCCGCGCGCCACGCCGCGGTGCTCGAGGGCGAGGTGTGCGCCATCCCGCGCGGGCTCGCCGCCGACGTCCGAGCGCCCCCTTTGCTTCTGGGATGACCGCGGGGCTTGCTAAGGGGATACGGGGGGTTATCATTAAGTCGGGCCTGTCCCTCTACAGGAGGAATATTCAAACATAGTTTTCTTGATTTTAAAAATTGATTTTTTTGCTTCGAGCGATCCCCACCGAAACCTTGGGCCCCTCCTCCCCCTCCTGCCCCATGCCTCCTTCCCCTCCTCCTTCCCCCCTCCCATCCTTAGACTGAGGGACGCAGGCGAGGAGGCCGCCCGCAGCGAGGCGGCGGCAAGGACTCGGGGATCATCGGGACAACTGGGGCTCTGGCCAGGTTTTGGTTTGTTATGTGATGTTATCTTGTGCTCTGGTTTGGTTTGTTCTCCGATGTTATGTGGTTCTCTGTTATGGGACGTTCTGCTCTGGTTTGATATGTGACGTTATGTTGTGCTCTGTTCTTTCATGATATACATTGATTTGTCATGATATGACATGCTCTGTTTTGTTATGTCGTAGTATGTCTACTGGCTTGTGCATCGTATGATATGTTATGTTATGTCATAGTATTGCACGGTCTGGTTGGGAATGATATTGCTCATGTTATAGCATGGTCGCGTTATGGTATGGTCCATTAGTTTGTGACGTGTTGTGTTCTGTCGTGTTCGTCGCGATGCTCTGTTGGCATGCTATGACATGGTCTGAGCGCTGTGCCATGATATGATATGTTCTGGTACGGTGTGTTATGTTATGTTCGGCCATGCTATGTTATGGCGTGTTGTGTCATGTTCTGGTTTGCAATGTTCTGCCATGGTATGTTATGTGATGTGTTAGTATGGTCTAGTGTGTCAAGATTTGCGATAGTATGTTATGGCATGTTCGTTATGTGATGGTGTGTTGTGTTATGTTGTCTCATGGTATGCATTGTTCTTTTACTTTCTGTAATGAGATGTTATGATCTGTCGTGATATGTCTACTATGCTGTGCTATCCTGTCCTGGTATGGTAGGGCATGTTATGTGATGTTATGTTATGGTCTGTTTTGTAATGATACTGCCATCTGATGTTCCGTCATGTTATGTCATGCTCGTGTTTTGCTATGTTATATTACATAGTGGCATGTTGTGTTCTGTCGTTTTCGTCACTATGCTCTATTAGTGTGTTCTGACACGTTCTGAACGTTTTGTCGATATGTTATGTCCCGTCGATGAGTGTTATGTTGTGCTCAGTTCTGTTATATTATGGTATGGTATGTCGTGTTATGTTCTGAAATATGTTGCCGTCATGATGTGCTTCGTGTTGATATATTACGCTGTGCTTGTCATGCCATCTCTATGGCATGTTCTGTCATGCCATCTTGTGTATTGCTGTGTTTTTCGTGTTTGTCGAAGGCGCGAGGCGGGAGTCCCAGGGATTCGGGGACTCTCGGGACAACTTGGGGTCTGGCGGCCGCGGTATGCAGTCGTGTTTGTCGAGGGCGCGAGGCGGGAGTTCCGGGGACTATTGGGGACTCTCGGGACAACTTGGGGTCTGGCGGCCGCGGTATGCAGTCGTGTTTGTCGAGGGCGCGAGGCGGGAGTCCCAGGGATTCTCGGGGACTCTCGGGACAACTTGGGGTCTGGCGGCCGCGGTATGCGTGGGGTTGGCCAGGGGGTCTGTTCTTGAAATCTAACAACCCCAACCTGGGCCAGGAGAGGAACAACACATGATGTCTGTATAAAGTGAAGTGTATATAACAGAGGGAGAGAGAGGAGAAAGTCAAACAACATGCAGCGGCTAGCAAGCGTGGCGTATTTTCGAACCTGTAGGAAAATCCACAGTTTGTTTATTCTCTGGTCTAGCTGAATGGACCCCCCTCCGCCAATGTTGCTGGTGCAGGCTTACAACATTGATGTGCGCCGGCGCTAAGCAGGGATTTCCATTTTGAAGCCGACCCACTCCATCCCTTCAGGACCATCAGTGGTGAGGACTTTTCAGGCACAACTTCCTGGCCCGTCCTGCCGACACCCATGGAGGTGCGACAGAGGAAACGCATGGAAGGGGGAGAGGGAGGAGGGAGGATGGAGGAAGGAGGGGCGAGGGGGGAGAACGGCGGGCGAGATGGAGGAGCGGGGGGGGGGGGACACGGAGGAGGAGGAGGAGGAGGAGGAGGAGGACAAGCAGGGAGAGGAAGACGAGGCTATGATCCCGTCAGGCTTTCATAGCAGGGTTGGCCTTTGGGCCGCGGAAGCATGCCGTCACGTACGCACTCCGCCCAAGGGCGAACGGGCCAGCTGGAGGGGAGCGACGAGGGATGGCGTGAGGAGGAAGGGCGGCAGGAGGGGGGATGATAGATAGGAGGGAGACGAGGAGGAGGAGCAGGAGCAGGAGGAGGAGGAGGTGGAGGAGGAGGAGGAGGAGCAGGAGGAGGAGCAGGAGGAGGAGGAGGAGGAGGAGAAGGAGCAGGAGCAGGAGGAAGGAGGAGGAGGAGGAAGAAGAGGCAGCGAGAAGACTCCCCCCTTCCCCTGGCCGCGGCGCGCGGCAGGGCCCCCCCCCCGCAACGCCACGCGCACGCAGAGCCCCACGCCGCGAGGGCCCGCCGGCACCGCGCCGGGAGGGGGGCCGCGCGGGCCCGGGCCGCCCTGGAGCGCGAGCGGGCGCACGCGGAGGAGCCGTGCCAAGCCGCCGCCGCCGCCGGGAGCCGCCGCCATTCGCCGCCCGTTGTTCGGCCTCGGCGCTCGTCGTCCGGCGCCCGGCGTCCGGCGGCGTCCGGCGCCGCCCGTGGTCGTTCGACGCCGCCGCCGTTGGGCGTGCGGCGCCGCCGTCGTTCGGCGCTTTAGGCGCCGCCTTGCGGCGGCATTCGGTGGAGGCGCCCGAGGAGGAGACGCGCCGCCGCCGCCACCTCTTGGCACGAAGGGCACGACGCCCTGAGGGCCTCTTGGCCTTTTGGCATCATCATCACCGCCACCACCACAATCATCATCATCAGCAGCACCATCATCATCTTCTTCTTCCTCATCATCATCCTCATCATCAGCATCACCATACTTATCAACATCATCAACATCATCATGTCCTGGATCCCAGAGGCCTGCTGATCACGATTGAAACTGTGGGACTGTTAAGACGAATGCGTGTGGCGTAAAGGAGAGAGAGCCACACACTGATATTCAACCGCCGTCCATCCATGTGGCTGCTTAGGCTTTTAAGCTTCGGGGTCCCACATGTTGAGGACGACTGCTGATAAAAACAAAAAACATAACAGCCATAACGCCACGAATGTCGGTGCGAAGAAGAGTAGTTGTTTATATAGGCAGAGATGGGCGGAGGGTCATAGTGAGGGATCAGTGAGGGGGGAAAGTCATTCTTCTCCGCCATTTCCTCGACCCTTGTCAATTATCCACTACGCCTCCTCCGCGTCATCTCCACCCTCATGATCTCTACTCCTTCTCGTACTTCTTCCTCTCCCTTATTCGTCTCCCCTCATTCGTCCCGAATCCGTCCTCACGGTCCTCACTTTTTCATCTTAACCTTCCCTTGTTCCTCGCCAATCCTCAACGATGAGAGTGAGGGACGTGGGAGGGGGATTGGAGAGCACTGGTAGGAGATGATTAATTTCTCGTATCTCCCTCGTCCCCCCTTCCTCCCCTGCCATGTTTCCTCCTCCCTCATCATCCTGCTTTCCCTCCTTCGCCCTCGTCCATGAATGCGACTTCAACCCGCCAACAAAAATAAAGTCCTCCCTCCCGAAGCTACCCCTCCTTAATCTCCTGCTCCCGCTTCTATCCCCCCGTCTCCTTCGTTCCTGCCCTCCTGCCTCCCCATTCCCTGTCCCTCCGTTTCCCATTCCCATAATTTTCCTGCCCCCCCCCCCCCCCACACCGTTTCGCCCTCGTCCCACCGTTGCTCTTCTTCATCTCCTTCCCGCACTCGCCTCCCCCTTCTTCTCCATGTGCCTCCTCTCCAGAGGCAGATGGCGAGGAGGATGTGAAGGGCCGGGATGCGAAGGGAAGGAGGCGGAGGAGGAGGAGGAGGAGGAGGAGGAGGAGGAGGAGGATGTCTTCGTCGTCCTTTTCTTGCTGCGCTCTGCTGCTTAGGGTCCTTCTCACGAGGCTGCGAGGTGTTCCTGAGGCCCCCCTCCCCTCTTTTTCCTGCCCATGTCCGCCGCGCGCTCCTCTCCTGTCCTCGTGTCTCCAGCTGCTCGTCGTCCTCCTGCCTGCTCCTTGCGGTCGCTCGGTCGGTGTACATTCCCGCTTCGCCGCCGCCATCTCAGCCGATCGGATTGGCATTATTACTGTACGCTCGTCTCCTCCTCTTCTTCCTCGTTCTCCTCATCATCACCACCATCATCATCAGCAGCATCATCAGCATCATCATCCTCCTTCTCCTCCATCTGTCCCTCCCTCCTCGTCCTCCTCCTCCCTCCCTCCCTCCTCCTCGTCCTCCTCCCTCCCTCCTCCTCGTCCTCCCTCCCTCCTCCCTCCCTCATCCTCATCCTCATCCTCATCCTCATCCTCATCATCATCATCATCATCATCATCATCATCATCATCATCATCATCATCATCATCATCATCATAATCAGCGTCATCATCATCACCATCATCATCACCATCATCATCGTTAATATCATCATCATCATCGTCATCATCATCATCATCCTCATCATCATTTTCATTATCACCATTATCATTATCATCAGCATCATCATCATCCTCATCCTCATCCTCATCCTCATCCTCATCCTCATCCTCATCCTCCCTCCCTCCCTCCCTCCTCCTCGTTTCCCTCCTCCTCCCCTTCACGCCTCGTGGTTTTTAGGGGGTCCTGGCTCGGGCCTCTGGCGGCCGCCCAGGGACGATCTGGGCACCCCCAGAATGCCTTCGACGAGACGCAGCTGCTGAAGAGCATCCCAAGGCGAGAAAGCCTCCAGGAACCGACGAACATGTCCTCCTGTGCCTCCTCCTCCTCCCTACCTCCCTCCTCCCTCCTCCTCCTCCTCCTCCTCCTCCTCCTCCTCCTCCTCCTCCTCCTCCTCCTCCTCCTCCTCCTCCTCCTCCTCCTCCCCTCCTCCTCCCTCCTCCCTCCTCCCTCCTCCCCCTCCTCATCACCATCACCATCACCATCCCATCACCCACCATCACCATCACCATCACCATCATCATCATCATCATCATCATCATCATCATCATCATCATCATCACATCATCATCATCATCAGCATCATCATCAATCATCATCATCATCATCATCATCATCCATCATCATCATCATCATCCTCTCCCCTCCCCCTCCTCCTCCTCCCTCCTCCTCCTCCTCCTCCTCCTCCTCCTCCTTCCTCCTCCTCCCTCCTCCTCCTCCTCCTCCCTCCTCCCTCCTCCCTCCTCCCTCCTCCCTGCTCCCTGCTCCCTGCTCCCTGCGCCTCCTCCTTCTCCTCCTCCTTCTCCTCCTCCTTCTCCTCCTTCTCCTCCTCCTCTTCCTCTTTCTCCTCCTCCTCCTCCCCATCTTTCTCCTCCTCCTCCTCCTCCTCCTCGTCCCGGGCCTCCTCATCCTCCTCCTCTTCCTACCCTCCTCCCTCGTTGAAGGAGCTCGAGCGTCGGCTGCAGGGCCGCCCGGAGCTGGAGGAGGAGGAGGAGCCCCCCCCAGCGCGGCGGTGCGGTGGCCGAGGCTCCGACGAGGGAAGGTAAGGTGGAGAAGATGAGGTCGCTGTCGAATTCTGAACCCTACCTTCGCCGATCAAAGATTCAGGCAACTCGATGGGTGGCGGGGGTAGGGTAGGGCTTGGAATTCGTCGAACACACGGCGAAATCCGAACCCCTCGCCTCGCATCGGTTCAAGATAATTGATGGTTGGTGGGGGTAGGGTTCGGCCGTGGACACCGTTGTAGGGGGAGGAGGAGGAGGAGGAGGAGGAGGAGGAGGAGGAGGAGGAGGAGGAGGAGGAGGAGAGGATGATGTCAAAGCTTTGGATTCCGCGCAGGGCGCCCCCCAAAAGTAGTCACGCCGGGCCTCCATAAGCACCCCCCCGCGGTCTCGAAGCCCTGGCGCCGCCGCCTGCGGCGCCCCTGGGGGGCTCCGTGCCCCAGGTTTGAGGCGTTGAGGCCAGCCGGGACTACCTGGGGGGCGGCTTTCTGCGCGCATCCCAGAGCCGAAGAGGAGGGAGGAGGAGGAGGAGGAGGAGGAGGAGGAGGAGGAGGAGGAGGAGGAGGAGGAGGAGGAGGGATGAGGAGGAGGAGGAGGAGGAGGAGGAGGAGGAGGAGGAGGAGAGGCGGCGGAGGGGGGGGTGTTCTCTGGGACGATTTCGATCTCTTCGGGCTCCTTGCTCTCTCAAGAGCAAGGTTCCAAGTCCGAGTCTGCTAGTGTTTTCTTTCTGCGCAGGCTCGCGCCCGCCTGGTCAGACTTGGCCACCCACTTTTGTTCAGCGAGTTAGAAGTCCTCGCTCCTCGGAGGGAGGAGACGGTGGAGGGAGGAAAATTAGGGGGAGGGATGGAGGGGGGGAGTGAAGGAGAAAGGGGTGTGGAGGAGGAGGAGGAGGAGGAGGAGGAGGAGGAGGAGGAGGAGTTACGGAGTTACGGATATTGCGACCATGTCGGTTACGATTAAGCTTCGCCCGCTCAGAGGAACTCGGAGAGATTGCGAAGCAATACGTACATGGGCACTCCACCCTCTGACCACGACGGGGGCCGCGATGAACAGGAAGCCCCGCGCTAGGACAGAGTAGCCGTTCACCAGATTGCGCGAGACGCTCATGTCCCTCCAGCTGCCAATGTCCAGGGGCGAGATGAGAGCCCGAAAACAAAGTGAATTGAAACCGCAAGAGCGCCTCTGATATCAAACAAACAGCGAATATACAGTCCCACAAACAAGAATAAGCAATAGCATATGCCTTGCTTGCCCCGTGGGCCTGGGCCAGGCTCACCCGAACCGTAACCAAGCCCCTTTCGATGCCGTGTAGAAGAACCCGACTCTGGCAGTGGCCCGAACAACATGCCCGAGCGAACAAAAACCATCCTTCTCCTCCAGCAGCGCGACGACCCAGAACAGGAAGCCGAGTACACGAAGGTGAAGGTGTGGCCGAAAGACTTCAACTCTGCTTGCAATCCGCCGATCCCGATCCCCCACGTAGGGCATCAGCGTCTCGGAGGAGCCTCGCACGCTCGGTGCCACTTGCCCATCGCTCGGCATCCGACTGGGCAGGGGTAGCCGCTGCCGTCGACGTCCCGAGCTCGTGCAATAGCGCACCCACGTCCGCGACAGCACCTCCAGCGCAAAGCACCCGTGAAAAGGGGCAGCGATGAGGGGGACGAAGCCGCGCGCCTCCGCCAGGGGGACGAACCCACGCCTGCGCCGCCCCCTTGAGCCTCACGACCGGCCTGACCGCCAGGGACTCCAGCGTCAGGCCGCACTGCTGGCTCCGGAGCCGCCTCCACCGCATCTGGGGCAGATACCCCCCGCAGGGGCCCAGCGGGAGCCACGACACCAGGATGCGCGGTGGCGCCAGTCACACGGAGAATCACCGCCTCCAGGGAGACCAGCGACGGCCGGAGCAGTAGCATGAACTCCAGGAAGGCGATCATCGGCATGGCCGTCGACACCAGCAGCATGAACTGAACCTCCATCCACGATTCCGCCCTTCGGGGCTGGCGCAGGCGGCGCTGCCGACGCATCCTCGGCTCCAAGCTGCTCCTGCTCGGCGTCGGGGTCGATCGCATCGACCTCAGCCTGTGCCGCACGGCTGCGGGCCCGTGTCTGATGGGCCGCGGGGCGTGCGCTGAACCAGAAACAGACCTCCGCGCGGCCGTCGGAGAAGCGGTGGCCGCGGTCCACCACGACAGCGTATCCAGCCTGTTCCTCGAGGGCCGACAGGGCGCTGAGAAGCACAGCCCGCGCCGTGGGCGACGTACACGGCCGCGCTGGGTCGAGGACCACCTTGACCTTACCGCGGCCCTCGATGGCGGCGGCTCCGAAGGTGAGGTGCGCGGCGACTCCAGCGACGATCTGATCGCGCAGCCAACGAAGGCGCGCGTGGACCACCGTGTCCCGAGGGAAGCGCAGGGGCGCTGAGGAAGTAACGGAACAAGCAAGGGCTCGAGCGAAATGGTTACTGGAGGAGGAGGAGGAGAAGGAGAAGGAAAAAGAGAAGGAGGGAGGAGGAGGAGGAGGAGGAGGAGGAGGAGGAGGAGGAGGAGGAGGAGGAGAGGAAGGAAGAGGGAAACGGAGGAGGGAGGATGAGGAGGATGAGGAGGAGGAGCAGGAAGAAAAAGAGGAGGAGGAGGAGGAAAAAGAGCAGGAGGAGGAGGAGAAGAAGAAGGATAAGGGGGACGAGGAAGGAGGCAGGATGAGAGGAGGGAGGAGGAAAAGGGGGACGAGAAGGGAGGCGGGTTGGAGAGGGAGGAGAACGGAGGCGGAGAGCAGGACAAGGAGCCGTCGACGGGGTTGGAAAAGGGGCGGCAGGCGACGTCGACAGGCCGCGTCGGGCGCGGAGCGCCGGGACCCGAGGACGGCAGCGCCGCCGACGCGGCGGCGCTCGCGCTCGAGGAGGCGCGGGCAGCACGCCAGCTGCTCGAGGCGCCGGCGGTTGCCAAAGCGGTCGCCTCGGCAGCACCGCAGGGGGTATCCACTGGCGGGCACTGGAACTCGAATATCAATATCGGGTATTCACTCGATATTGGTATTCGAATCTCAGTATCAGGTATTCATTCGAATATCAATATCGGGTGTTCACTCGAATATCAATATCGGAACAAGGAATAATACTCAAAAGAATAATGATAAAATTATATAAACAACAAACAATATCGGGTATTCACCAACGGGTATCCACCAACTAACAGGTACTAACGGATACTTGGTACAGCGGGGGCCCATGCCAAGACACACCGTGCTTGCCTCCACGGTGCCCTGGGTTTCTTGGATTTCGATGGTTTTGCTGTGGGAGGAGGACGTTCCCACGCCAAAAGTCAGGGGGTGTCCTGGGGTCTCGGGGCTGGGCTTCCTGTGGAAGGTTTCTTGTGGAATGGCCTCCACTGTGTTCGCCCACGGGCACTTCGGAACTCGAAGAAGAAGCATATTGCATCAATGTCAATGGTTGACGATCCGCGCGGATTTCTTGGATCGGCGCTGGGCCCCTCTGGCGGCGCCTCCGGCGTCGTCCCTGGCGCGCTTCGCGCGCCATGGAGGGGGGGCCCAGCGCAGATCCGAGACATCGGTTCGGAATTCACGTGCATGCGGTTGTCTCGCTCCACTGTAGGAAACCCGCGGAACGTTACCACTCCAGGGCCTGTGCCGGGCATCTCAGCACGGCCCACGTTGGGAATGGTTGCCTTCGTGCCCTTTGGTGGAGTCCCCGTTAGAGGGGCGCTGGTCGTCATCGCCGTCGACAGTTGTTTCTGCGTTGTTGCGTGGTGTTGTAAACAAAGGAAGCTGAATTACGGTCCGTGTGCAGTTGCTGTCATTGCATGTCATAGCCCCGTAGCCGGTGGGAACGCCTTGGGTCGACGTCCTCGTCGTCGTTGTCGTCGATGTCCCCGTCTTCGTTGTGGTCGTTGTCGTAGTTGTCCTCGTTCTCGCGTCGTCCGCACCGTCGTCGTCATCATCATCCCGTTTCTCTTCCGCCTCCCAGCGGAGGATGGCGGGCTCCCTAGCAGAGCGCTGACGACTCTGGCGTTCACTCGCTCGCTAGTTGCCTGGAGGAGGAAGACGACGACGAGGGGTCCGACGAAGGGCCACCCAGAAGAGGAGTTCCGATGTTTGCGGGTGCTTTCGGACGTTTGAAGATGTCGAAGGTGTTCACGTCTTGATGTGTTAATCACCGGATATGTTTGGATGTGTTTTGTTTCAGAGCTTCTTGTTGTGTTATCAGGCTGTCGTCTTGTTCTGACAGTTTTTGTCGCATTCTATCTCGCAGGCGGTTCTCGTGCGTTTTCGGATGGCGTTATTGGTTTCCAGATTGTTTTTGAGCGTTTCGTTTGTTCTGGAGAGTCCAAGTTGTCTCCCCAGATCCTCTGAATGTTTTTGAATACAGTCGGCCCGGATTAGTAGGTCGACCCTGCCAGATCAAGGGCATCCTCGTGCCCCGTGCCTCGCGACACGTGCCTTCTTGCGCTCCTGTGGCAGTGTGGCCCTTTGGAAGGGTCTCGTGTCCTCTCGCGTGTCCTGTCCAATCGAGTCCGACTGCAGTTCGGATGCGTGTTCGGGAAGGGGAAGGCGGGGGCCCGGAGGAGGCGAGACCGCGAGGCAGGATGAGGGCCCCCCGGGTGCTTGCTCAGCCCAGGAGGCTGTCTTTCCCCGCAGTGCTCTCTTGCAACCCCCCCTTCTCCTTCTCCCCCTTCCACCCCACACACATGCTCCCTCTTTCTCAGGGAGCATGCTCATCCGCGCTCTTCGCTCCTTCTCCCTCTTCATCGTGCGGCACTGCTTCAGAGCCAACGGCTCTTCATAAGCACGTGGTGGCGCAGCCCGGCTGTGGTGATCTGCTGTGCTCGTGGACCGGGGCTTCTGTGCAGGAAAAAGCACACACACACGCTCCCTCTTTCTTCTCGTTTCGCCCGCTGGCTCGGCGGGCTGGCCGCCCCGACGGTGGGCAAGTGGGCGCGGGATCCGCGAGCTTTCGAGGAACAAAGACGAGTCTGCGAGGACCGGTCTCGCAGCGTGCCCGGGCCGCCGAGCGGGCACGCTTTTGGAGTGGGCCTCCTGGCAGCCTGCGCTTCGCGATGCCGGGCGCGGTGCGTGCGAGAGGGCACGCTCGGAGGGAGCTTCCTGGCAACACCGCTGGCCGCGCGAGGTGCCCAGCCTGGAGGGTTTCTCCGAAGGGCTTAGGCGGCGACCCGTTCTCCTCCTCCTCCTCCTCCTCCTCCTCCTCCTCCTCCTCGGGTCGCCTACGGCCCGGGGGAAACCGTGCAGCCCGGCCCACGAGCGGGCACGTCTGGAGTGGGTTTCTTTGCAGGCTCGCCGGCCACGCGACGTGCGTCGAGCATTCGGGTATAGCCAGGACCCCAGTTAAGGGAGCCCGGTTAGTAGTAGGGCCCTGGAGCCCTTAAATTGGCCAGATTCACTCAGCCAGGTCTGCCGTAGCTGGTGTTTTTTCGGATGACGGCAGTTCCGGTGAGTGGAACGGGGCGGGGGGGGCGTCCCCCAGTACACGTCACGAAACCAGGTCTCACTAAATCCAGTTCTGCCAACGCCCAAAGCATTCACGCTCTGAGCGGGCTTCGTGGTTTGCATCCAGGCCACAACACTGGCAATACCACGACTGCCGGGAGCGAGCGTGCACGCTGGGACCAAGTTTTCTGGGAACCTTGCTCAGCGAGTTGCCCAAGTCTGGGGCTATTTCTGTGCGTGACTGGTTGCCTGCGGGCTTCAGCGAGTCTGCATGCTAGTTGTACTGGGCGCTCTCCTTTTGCCTGCCGCTGTGCGATCATTCTATTGATGGTCGTTTAGGCCATGTGGGAAAGCACACACAGCGTCAGTGTCAGTCCCCCCCCCAAAAGTTGCCTGGCAACCTTACCAGCGACCTTCCCCCCCAAGAAGGTGTAATCGATTATTTTTCGGCGGCTTAATTCACGGCTTGGTGTTCCACCAATTGAGGGAGGCTGATTTTTTTCCCCCCACGGGGCCCGCAAGCAGCGTTCTCATGGAAACTCTTGGCTCAGGCACTTGGCGCTCAGAAGCTGGTTACTGCAAAGCTCCATCCTGAGAAGGACTGTTGAAGCTCAGGCCCCGCGCGGGTCCTCCACAATCTACATTTACAGCTTCGTCGCCGGCGGCGCGGGCACCGACGACGAAGCTGCAAATGTAGATCGTAGATGCACTGGCCTGCGTTGCAACTTCCCTGCAAGCAAGGAGATATCACGCGACTGACTGCGAGATCTGGCCTCGGCGACGAATGCTATCTACATTGCAATCCCCTTGCCTATGCACGCTACTTACAGTGAGAACCAGCCTCGGCGACGAATCGATCTATATTGTAATCCAATTACAAATGTGTGCAGAATTCCTCCGTCGCGCAGGGTAGCCCAGGAAGCATTATTCGCCGACAGAAAGAACCTTCCAACAGTATCCAGCACGGCGAACAATAATGGGAAGCTAATTGGCGGGCAGCGTCGCGGGCGCCGACGCAAAAGACGCGCGTGTGCATTGAAAGTGTATATCAGCGTACGGTGCAATCTTTCGTACAGACGCGACGAGATGAAGGAGGGGATCGCGAGCAAAGCCCTTGGCAAAGAAGACGTCGATCTAGATTACAACCCTCTTATAAACGTGCTCAGGATTTCTCTGTCGTGCAGGATTGCCCACAGAGCATGACTCACTGGAAGAACCCCCCGACGTTATCCTGCCCACCCAGCAATCGAGGGACAACAATCGACGGGCCGCGCCACTGGCGCTGACGCTGAAGATGCACATGTACTGTATACACGCAGCTCAGGGAGCCTTTACCGCCGAGAGACAACAACAACATTATCCAGCCCACCCAACAATAGAGGGAAACTAATCCAGCGTCGCCGCGCGCGCCGACCAGGCGCCAGCAGGAGTTTTGCCAGCAGTGCTAGGCAGCGAGTTTGAGCAAACTCCCGGATCAAAACGAATCACCATTGTATTGGAATACTCTTGCGAAGATGCTGATAAGTCCTCCTCACATGAGAATTGGCGACCTAGCTATTTTTGAAAGCGTTGAAAAACGCATGTTGACTTCACAGTCAAATCGTTCACCGGTAAGAGTTCACTTTAGTTTCGAGGCCAACATGGCGATTTGTCTATTCTTATAATCGCTGAACAAACGAATGATAACTTCAAAATTCAATCGGCCACCGTTAAGTTTTCATAGTGGCCAGGACAGCATGGCGATTTTCTTTTCTTGAGAACGTTGGAATAAAACGAATGCGAACTTCAAAATCCGGTCGGTCATCGTGAAGGATTCGTTCGTTTCCAGGCCAACATGGCGACTGTTGCATGGTTGACAATGCAGAGCTCGCCACGCGCGCGTGCGCGCGCGCCCCCGCGCGCCCGAGCGCGTGGCGAGCTCTGTATTGCCCACACTGGGAGAGTCGCCATGCTGGCCTGGCAACTAAAGTTGGCAGTGACCACCCTGAGTTCGGGAGTTCCAGCCGCGCGTGGGTCACCCGATCGCGCGCGTGTTCCTCCTCCTCCCCCTCCTCCCCCTCCTCCTCCTCTTCCTCCTCCTTCTCCTCCTTCTCCTCGTCCACCTCTCCTCCCACTCCGTCCTCCTCCGCTTCCTCCTCCTCCTCCTGCGTCTCCTCTTCCTCCTCCTCACCCTCCTTCTCCTCTGACCAGGAAGCGCGGGGGCGCGCTCGCGCGCGCGGACGCGCGCGTGGCGAGTTCTGTCCTGTCCATACTGGAAAAGGTTCCATGTTGGCGTGGAAGAGAACATGAATCCTTAACGGTGACCAACCAGATTTCGGGTGATCCGCCCGCGCGTGGGTCACCTGATCGCGCACATGCTCCTCTTCTCCCCGTCCTCCTCGTCCTCCTCCTCCTCTTCCTCCCCCTCTTCCTACTCCTCCTCCGCCTCCTCGTCCTCCTCTCCTCCCATTCCGTCCTCCTCCTCTTCCTCTTTCCCCTTTTTCCCTCATCCCCTTCTTCACTCTTCCTCCTCTCCCCCCCCCCTTCCTCAGCTGGGCCAACTCGTGCAGGGTAGCCGAAGGAGGCATTCTTTCCTGGGAGAAAAACACAAGATGATCCAGCCCGCCCAACATTAAGAGGGCAAAGCATCTGCGCCGCGACGAGGAGGTTTTAGAACCAGTGTCATTCACCGCCGAGAGATGAAGGGTGGGTCAAACCTAGAAACGAGTGTGGGTTATGTGCGACGTCGCGGGCATCGCTGGCGGCCCGAAGGCCAAACATCAGGACACGCTGACGCACGCCATGATGACACATGTCTGTCCCTAGTCCTCTCCAGGCATTTTTCCGCCGCGGCGCGGCAGAGGCGATCCGCACGCGCGTCCAAGCCAGCCAGGCTACGGTGTTTCGAAGTGTCCCGCACGCGAGAGGAGCGGAGAAGACGAGACGCGGCCCGCAGAGGCAGAGGGAGGGAAAAGGGCGCTCTCGCGCTGCGAGGCCGCGAGGGGTTGCGCGGGGCGGCCAGGCAGCAGGACAGCCCCTGGCAGCGAGATCGGGGCGGCGCCGCCCCGCCCTCCCCAGACGTGCGACGACTTGTTCCCTCTCCATCCGGGCTCCCCGGAGGTCCCGACCCCCTCCCCGGGGCCGGTTCTTCCTCCCGAGCCGCTCTTTGTTGAAGGCCGCGGGGCCCGGGGAGGGCCCCCAGGTCACGACAACGGCCGAAGAACAGTTCCCGTCGTGTTTTTTTTTTTCGTGACGCGAGTCTGTCTGGGTCGTGACCTCGCGGGCCTCGAGAGGCCCAGGCCCTCTTTCTTCTCTTGATCCTCGAGAGAGTCTGTCTGGGTCGTGACCTCGCGGGCCTCGAGAGGCTCAGGCCCTCTTCCTCCTGATCCTCGAGAGAGAGCACTGCGCCGGCAGCCCACCGGCAGGAGGAGCGCCGGCGTGCCGGCGGCCTCGAGGTCGCCCTCGCAGAGGCTCGCCGCCAGCTGGAGGAGGACGCGGCCCTGCCCGCGCGCGCGACGCGCTCGGCTGCGGACAGCCTCCGGCCACCCAGATGCGCACGGGCGTGTCAGAGCCCAGACACATTCGAGCCGTGAACAAGTCACGATGGAAGTTTTGTGCGTTCGTCCCATGGAGGCCCTCGCCAGGCCTCGGGACCGTTTAGCAATCACTCAGGGTGAAAAGTCAGTCCCGGGGAATAGGTCAGGAGATCTGCGAAGAGAGATTCGTCGGATATCCCCCTGAGATCCGAGGGGATCCCTGAGAGTCCCTGCTTTCCGGGCGATGAAAATCATGCGACATTGAGAGTCTTCGCTCAGTTTGAAAAATGATGCAGAAAGATTGGGTCTGGGGCTCCAGTCGTGATTTTCCGCGATGTTGTTACCTAACAGCGTTTGCTGATAGGTTTCTAGTAGGGTCAAAAGAGAGCATCATGACTCCTCAGGGGGGTCTGGGCGGGTGCCGGGGAGGAGAACCGGGAATCGTTTTTCGCCAACAGTCACACATTTCGTGCTCTTCGACCTCCCAGAACTCCATTCCCGGGCCACATTCTGGAGAACCGGGAACCGAGCCGGGCTCGCTTTTCGCCAACAGTCACACACTTCGTGCTCTTCGACCTCCCAGAACTCCATTCCCGGGCCACATTCTGAATGCCCGGAGCCAACTGTAGGCCACTTCGTGCTCTTCGATTTCCCAGAACTCCATTCCTGGACCACATTTTGGATGCCCGGAACCAACTGTAGGCCACTTCGTGCTCTTCGACTTCCCATGAACTCCATTCCCGGGCCACATATTGGATGCCCGGAGCCAACTGTACGCCACTTCGTGTTCTTCTAGTTCCCAGAACTTCGCTCCTGGGCCACATTTTGAATGCTGAGGCAGGCTGATGCTGCGACCGAGGCAGGCTGAGGCTGATGCAGGCTGAGGCTGAGGCCGAGGCTGAAGGCAGACTGAGGCTGAGGCTGAAGCAGACTGAGGCTGAGGCTGAGGCAGGCTGAGGCTGAGGCTGAGGCAGGCTGAGGCTGAGGCAGGCTGAGGCTGAGGCTGAGGCTGATGCAGGCTGAGGCTGAGGCTGAGGCTGAGGCCGAGGCTGAAGGCAGACTGAGGCTGAGGCTGAAGCAGGCTGAGGCTGAGGCTGAGGCAGGCTGAGGCTGAGGCAGGCTGAGGCTGAGGCTGAGGCAGGCTGAGGCTGAGGCTGTGACTGCGACTGCCGTTGCCGCTGCGACTGTCATCGCGAATGCGACTACGACTGCGAGAACAGCAGAATTCTACAACTGGATTTTTATCTGAATCTTAAGGGGAATGCTTTCAGATATGCTTCTACACATCGCTGTTAGGTTGCTTTGCTGGGATATTTTTTTTCCTAGATGTTTCTGCGGTCTGAGCTCCCCAACCGGGAAGTGGATCTTGGTTTCGGTTCGTGTCCTGCGTGAAGCGCGTACGGGCGAGGCGAAGTTGCGCGACGTTCTGCGCTAGCCAGGCCCAGGTTGCGCAAAAATGAATCGGGTCCCCGCCCGCTGGAGCGTGCATGGGGTCGTCCCGCCGTTTGGTTATGGTTGTGGTTATTCCGTGGTTGTTCTGTGGCTGCGTTGTGGTTGTCCTGCGGTTTTCCCTCGATTGTCCCGTGATGATCCCATGGTCGTTCTGTGGCTTTCTTTGGGGCGCCACGTGGTTTTCATATGGTGTTGTCGTGTGGTTGTTTGCGGTTGTTTCGCGTTTGGCCCGTAATTGTTCCGCGGTTGCCACTCTACACACATGTGTATATATACAAGTGGCACGTGTGTGCCCAGGCTCATACAAAAAACTGAAGGGGCGTTTGAAGCAGGAGTGAAATGCAACATCGAAGTCGCACTCGAGCGCAAGTGGGGTTGCCACACCTTGCGATGTGTGTACCAGGACCCCCCAGGAAGCCTCAGGAGGCCCGACTTGGATACCAGAAGAGGCTCCAGGAGGCCCCAGGATTGTGAGTGTTGTGCGTGTGTGTGTGTGTGTGTGATGTATGCTTTGTGTGGTGCGTGCTTTTTGTGTGTTGTAGGTGTTGTGTGTGTGTGTTATGTTTGTCTAGCGTGTGATGTGTTGGGCGTGATTTGTGTCTCTGTGTGCATGTAGTTCTGAAGCCCCAGGAGGCCCCAGGAAGCCCCAGGCGGCCTCAGGAGGCCCCAGGAGACCCCAGGAGGCTTCAGGAGGCCCCAAGAGGCTCCAGGAGGCCGCAGGAGGCCCCAGGAGGCCCCAAGAGGTTTCAGGAGACCCCCAGGAGGCTCCGAGGCGGGGTCTGGGGTGCCAGAAGGTTCAGAAAGCCCCAGGAGGCCCCAGGAGGTTCCAGGAGGCCCCCAGGAGGCTCCGAGGCGGGGTCTGGGGCTCGATTTTGGAAGGATTTTTCAAGCGAAACCGCCATTCCCTGATAATCGGGGTCACAATTTACCATGTGTGTTTGAAGGTTTTATGTTAAAATGTTGAAATTCCCATGTGTTTTTGGACGCTGACGTCACGATCTGCGTGAGGGGTGCCACCGATTTTCGGAATGTCGAGGATGTCCCGAGCGAAATGCCCAGAAAAATCGCGGACGCGTGCGCATTAATCGCCTCTGAGCTCTACTCCCTCGGAGAGGTGCGTATGATAATATATATATATATATATATATATATATACACCGCACTCACATCTATACCCCTGGGTGGGTGTATGTGCGGCCGTTTTTGCGCTGTCATGTGCGCGCATGTGCGCGGCATGTGCCAGTCATGTGCCAGGCCTGTGCGGTCCTTTTTGGATGGACTTCCTACTGTGCACGTCGTGCCCGGGCATGTGCGGGGGCATGTGCGCTGTGTTTTGATGTAACCATCATACGCACATGCGCGCACAGTCCGACGCACATGCGCGCACATGCCTGCACATGCGGGAGGTGTTCGAGAATCGCAGATCTGTCATCGGCACATGCACGCACATGCCTGCGCAACCTCTCTTCGGGAGGCCGCGCGGGCCCGCACATGCACGCACATGCGGTGAAACGCGCGGGCGCACATGCGTGCACATCCCAATGCACATGCACGCTCATGCCCTAGGAGCTGTCTGGGACCCCTGTGCCTCCAATGCCTCCTGGCCTTCGCAGAGCTAACCTGGGGCGTGCCAGGGCTTCCTGAAAGAGTTTGTTGTGCGTTTAGACTCGCCCGCTGCTGGCGGGGGCGGTTCTTCGCCCGGTTCGTGAGCTGGCGGTGGCGCGCCCGCCTAATAAAATACTCCCGCGCGCCTTCTCAGCTCGGCCGGAGAAGCAGGGATGGGGGGGGGGAGGTGGAGGGGAGGGGGAGGAGGGGGGGGCGGAGAAGGCGGGCGCCCCCGGCTCGGCTGGCCCGCCTGCCTGTTCGACTCGGCCAGAGGAGAAGGAGGAGGAGGAGGAGGAGGAGGAGGAGGAAGAGGAGGAGGAGGAGGAGGTGGTGAGAGTTGCGAGGATGTCTAAGGCGAAAGTGGCTTGACGGCCCGAGCTCAGGGAATCTCGGAATCGCTGGCCTGGCTCGGCCACCGGCGAGCTCGGCCTGTGCGAATACTGTGCGTACCTGTGCAGTGCATGTGCGGGACGTGCACGAATGCCGGGGCCGGCGTTCGTCTCCGGACGCCGGCGCGTTCGCGTCCGGCCAGTTCCGCGTGAGACGTCGTCGGCAATCTGGAGGCCGAGGTGCTTTGACATGAAGTGATTTGGCCACCTTCGCCTGAGACATCCTCGCAACTCTGGTCTCGGAGATGCCCTGCCCCATGGTGGCCCGGCCACTTTCGCTTGAGACATCCTCGGGACTCTGGGTTTCGAGACGCCCTGAGCTGAGGTGGTTAGACCACTTTCGCCTGAGACATCCTCGCAACTCTGACCTCAGAGATCTCCTGCCCCATGCTGGTCAGGCCACGGTCGCCTGAGACATCCTCGCAAGTCTCGATTCCGATATGCCCCGAGCTGAGGTGGTCAGCCACTGTCGCCTGAGACATCCTCGCAACCCTGATCTCAATGATGCCCTGCTCGATAGTGTCTCGGCTCCTTTCGCCTGAGACATCCTCGGAACTCGGGGTTCCGAGACGCCCTGAGCTGAGGTGGTTAGACCAATTTTACCTTTGGATATCCTCGCCCGAGATGCCCTGAGTTGAGCTGTTCAGGCCACTTTTGCCTGAGACATCCTCGCAACTCTGACCTCAATGATGCCCTGCTCCATAGTGTCTCGGCCTTTTTCGCCTGAGACCCTCGCAACTCTGGGTTCTGAGATGCCCTGAGCAAGTGGTCAGGCCAGTCCTGCCTGAGACATCCTCGCAACTCTGGGCTCCGAGATGCCCTGGGCTGAGGTGGTCAGACCACTCTCCCCAGAGACATCCTCGCAACTCTGACCTCAGAGATCTCTTGCCCCATGGTGGTCAGGCCACTTTCGCTTGAGACATCCTCACAACTCAGACCTCGGAGGTGTCCTGCCCCATGGTCGTCTGGTCACCTTGACCAGCGACATCCTCGCCACTCTGGTTTCCAAGATGCCCTGCCCCATGGTGATCCGGCCACGCTTGCCTGAGACATCCTCGGAACTCTGGGTTGCGAAATGCCCCGAGCTCAGGTGGTCAGGCCACTATCGCCTGCGACATCTCTGCGGCATGTGCGGGCATGTGCGTCTATGCTTTCAGAGTTTTGCTTGACCGTGCATTCGACTGTGCGTCGGACGGTGTGGCATGTGCGCGCATGTGCGGCAATGCTGTTGAGGCTTTTGTATATTTGCATGGGCATGTGCATGCGACTGTGCGGCATGTGCCTGCATGTGCGGCCCCTTCCGGACCACAATTTCAAAGTGAGCACTATAGAAGTGAGCGCTATAGAAGTGAGTCCGGTGTATATATATGAATATATATATATATATACACAGACTGTGGAAGTTATATGTATATCCTGAGATCGAGAGTTATATAGTTCAAACGATGTTCTGTTGGAAGCCATGAGTGATAGATTGTGTGGACCCGAAGACAGGGATATCAAGATCGACAGATCGATAGATCGCGAATCCGATCCGACGCCAATCGCAAAACGGAAGTTGCACCCATCCTTCCTGGCCTACCCATCACCCGGAGGATGGTCACAGAAGTGTGCCGTTGTGCCAGGAAGCGGGGTGCACGTGACACGGCCGGGTTGCAGAAGAGGGCCCTTTGAGGGCCCCTTAACGGGGCCCTCTGGAGCCGCAGAGGGGGCCTCTCGCGCCCCAAAAGGGTATCTTCCTCCTCCCCCCCATTCGCTCATCGCCCCCCCCCATTGGGAGAGGCTGCATGCACACGCGGATGGCCTTGCAGCCTCAGCTCTTGTCCGTCGTGCGGCTGTGCCCAGCGCCGGGTCTCCGCGTCCCCCGCTGGCCAAGATGTCGGCGCGATCTCACCGACGCCGATCCCGGTCTTCGTCCACGCCGGCCGTCGCTGGCTCGCCAGCGCGACCCACTGCTTCATGATGGCAAAGATGGAGGTTTGCCAAGATCGGTCAGAGCGCCGTCCGTGGTCGCTCGAGGCGGAGGAAGGAGTTCTGGTTCGCTGGGGGATTGGGATGCTGGGTGGGGGCGGTTTTTGCTGTGTCGAGGGATGCTTCGCATCCAGGCGTCCCTGAAACGCGTTCTCTCCCAGGTTGACGCGGATGTTTCTGCGCTCAGGCTTGGCCACGGGCATCCAGCTGGGAGGAACGGACGAAAACGGCCCGGCGGTAGGATTGCTCACCGACCCCCTTTAGTCTCGACTGCGCTTCTCCGACGGACCGCTTGATGCCGAAGATATCGCCAAAGATGTGCCCCAGATTGTCAGGAGGCGACTCTTGGCAGGTCAGATTCAGCACCGGCACTAGTAGATCCGTGGTCGAAACATGGCTCAATCTTGGGCTTAATCTAGCTTTATCTGGCTGGCCACGGCTTCTGATCGGGCGCTTCAGCCTTTCACCGTTCTTACGACGACCTCACAGGAGTTGCATCCTCAGGGTTGCCGTCAGGTTTGGGCATCTGAAAAATGTCTTCGCCACGGACCTCCTCTTCTTTTTCTCCCTTTGGTGGTGGCCCCTGCCCGACTCCTGCGCAAGGCCGTCGACGCCGCCGGCACCGCCGCCTCGGCGCCCGGCTCTGGCGGGTGGCACCGCGACTGGCAGCAGGCCGCTCGACGGGGGGCGCGAGGAAGGGGAGCATCGAGAGGACCGCGAGGAGGATCAGAGAGAAAGTGCTGATAGCGATCATTTTCTTATTCCGTGTTTTGCCGATCGGCGCGGGCTCTCGTACCCCCCCTTCCCCCCCCTGCATGGAGTAGATCTTGGCTGTTTTGGCGCATGTTTCGAGCAGGTGAATTCTCCCCCATAGGACGCACAGTTGCAAACAGTCGCATCAAGCAGTGGTCCAGTGCCAGACCCCCCCCCCTTCCCCCCCCCTTCCGCCCAATGTCGAAACGCCGAATCAGAAAACGTTTCATCGCCTCTTTCATCGCCTCTTTGGTTGGACTTTTGGCGCGTCCCGCGTGGCCACGGCTGGATTCGTTTCGAAATCTTGGTCAGAACGCATCTCTGGAGAGGTCAACGGATTTAGCGACATCGATACCATCTTGTCTCCCCACTGAGAGGGAGGACGCGAGGAGGAGGAGGGGGAGGAGGGGTGATGAGGAGGAGGATGACCCCCTGTGCCAGAGCTCCTGTTTTTGTCGGGTGTTTCACTATATGGGCACCACACTCCTTTACGCCACGCCCCTTTCCTACCCCCAGACGCTTGCGGTGGGGAGGAGGAGGGCGCCAAGAAGACGAGGACAGGCACGTCGGCAAGCAGAGAGTCCAAGCACGCGAGCGAGAGGGCCGCGATCCAGCAGCGGCACCCCATGGGGAGGGCGAGAGACGTCGTGAGCCGTGGGCGCCATCGCGCCCGCGGCGGGCGGCAGGCTGCTCGGACTCTGTAGGCACTGGCCTCAGGCTGGGCCTGTCCCTCCACAGGAGGGCGTCTCCACCAGCGGCAGGCAGCAGAAGGCTGGCGGGAGCGAAAGATGCACCCGCAGGAGATGCCCACACTTTCCGACTCGGGGGCTCCCAGAGCGGGCTGGAGCAGAGCTTTACTCACGCGGTTGTCGCATGTTCTCCGCGCATGGTGCCCAGCCAACGGCTCTTCTTCAAACTGCCTGTGGGGTTTGGGATATCTGCACAACGTTGTACGGTGGTGTAGCGAAGCCGGCGCCCATGCGAACTCAACGAACATCGTAGCTTGCACGGGTCCAAGGGCGACGAGCCAGGGACGCTTTTCGTGATCGTTTTCTCATTCCTTGTTTTGCCGATCGGCGCGGGCCCTCGCACCCCCCTCCCCTTGGAGTAGATCTTGGCTGTTTCTGGCGCCTGTTTTGAGCAAGCGGAGTCCCCCCATGGGACGCACTGCTGCAAACAGTCACATCGAGCAGAGGTCCGGAACCAGAACCACCCCCCTCCCCCCTCCCCCTTTCCGCCCACTGCCGAGACGCCGCATCAGGAAGCGTTCCCCTCTCGGAGTTGCGCCCGGGATGCCGCCGCGTCGCTCCAGGGCGCTCCGGATCGCTCGGGGCGTTCCGCAGCGCCGTGGAGCGGCCGCGGCAGCCGATGCGCCCGCCAGGAGGCCCGCCGGCTCGCAGAGACACCCCCTGAGTTGTTCGCACCCGGACGTGCGCGGGTTTTCGCTCCGCAGTGCATGGGCACGGCCGCGGCGCTCGCTACGTAGATCCTCCGCCCACCTCGTGCTCTCGGGGATGCCCGGGTCGTTCTCGCCCGCTGTTCTAGCATTTTGCCTTGGCCTCGTGCAACCAGGAGGCTCTGTACACATGAGGGGGCAAGCCTGGGCTGGTGCTTCATGCATGTGTGGCTGCACATCTCTCGTCGGAGCTCAGCCCCCGTCAGAGCTCGGCCCTCTGATAGTTAGCTCTAGCGGACATGTTGACCCGTGTGCGTGCGTGCTTTTGTGTGTGTGCGTGTGTGTTTGTATTTGGGTGTGCGTTTGCGTGTGTGTGTGTGTGTGTGTGTGTTTGTTTGTGTGTGTGTGTGTCGGGCTCCTCCATGCTGGGTGAGTTGGCACGGCCCGCGCTCCTTTCCTTTTGCTCGACCTTCACTACGTCGCACCGCCGCGCGCGTGGCCGCGACGCCAAACATACTACGTGTTCGTCGGTCTCGGTCGCCGCTGCGCTTCGCCTGTCCTGGTCTGCCGTCTGCTGCTGTCCGCTGCCGCCTTCCCTCGTGTCATTCCAGGCTTGCACCAGCTGCTCGCTCTGCCACCGATTTCCGCCGCTGTGGCCAGCGCGTCGCCAAGAGAGCGTGCCGAGGGCAACGTGTGTGTCTGTGTGTAGGTATGTACGTTGGTATGTGTCGTGTGCTGTGTGGTGAGGGTGCTGTGTGATGTTTGTGTCTGTTTTTGTGTTGTATGTCTTTGCGTGTGCAGTTGTGTGCGTGTGTGTGTGAGTGTCGGTGTACGTGTGTGTGTCGGTATGTGTTTGTCTGTGTGTGAGTCCCTGTCCTGTCCGTCTCCATCTCTTTCTCCCTTCGGTAGTCGCTCCTGGCTTCCCGGCGTCGCTTGTCATTTTGCCACGCCTTTCGTTTTTCTTCTGGTGTGCCTCGGGGTCCTCGCCTGGGCGTTGACCGCACTCCCGGGGATGTCCATGGTGACCTTTTGTGTTGCTTAGCTTACTCCCGTTTGCTTACATGTTTGTGGATCGGCAGTGAGATTTGCCGCCCCGCGTGCGTGCACCCAAATCTGTGTGTAAATGCGCGTGTGAATGTGTGTATGTTCGTAGGTTTGTGTGTATGTCGATGTATGTATGTCCAAATTCGTGTCTGTCTGTGTGTCTGTCTGTCTGTCTGTCTGTCTGTCTGTCTGTCTGTCTGTCTGTCTGTGTGTCTGTCTGTCTGTCTGTCTGTCTGTCTGTCTGTCTGTCTGTCTGTCTGTCTGTCTGTCTGTCTGTCTGTGCATGCCTGCCTGCCTGCCTGCCTGCCTGCCTGCCTGTCTGTGTGTGTGTGTCTGTGTGTATGTCTATCTGTGTGTGTGTGTGTGTGTGTGTGTGTTCCAGCTTCCAGCTTAGCTCGCGCCCGCGACGGCCGACTGGCGCGCGCCCCCCGAGGCCCCAGCCGCCTGCGAGGAGGTGCACGACCTCCGCCTGCGCTGCCAGGAGCTCCAAGGCGAGCGGCCGGCGGCTGCCGCAGCAGAGCGGGCAGGGAGGCGACAGCCAGAGGAGGAAGACGTTAGTGTTCGCCTCTGCGGTTGTCCTCCCTCTCCTCGCTCTCCTCTCCAGGCTCCGACCCCGCGCGGGTGCCCCTCCTCCGCGGAGCCTCTCCCCCGGAGCACCGAGCCGCGACGGGGGGCAGCACGTCGCCCGGATGGCGGGCCTGATGGCAGCCCGAGTGCCCCTCGCCTTCGCGGGGGCAGGCGGACGCACCCAGTGCTCTGGCTGTTGCTTCTGGTGCTGCAAAGCGTTGCACCGACGGAGGCCCGTGACACGTTCATCTCGGTTTGGACCCCGCAGAACTTGTCAAGTGCGGCGAGGCTGGACACTGTGTAGTCAGTTTTGCGGGGCGTTGGTGATGTTGGCTTGCCAGGGACGTGCATCATATTCGGTGGTCAGAAGCTCAGCATCAAGCGACGGCGCAGTTCCATCATGTGGTCCACTTTAGATGGGAACGAGCTCGGATGGTGAACAGCAGTTGCGGCTGCTCGCTCCTCCTCTCCAAGCGTTTCCCTTGCAGGTGCAGCGCTCGTTGGTGAAGGGAGAGGAAGCCCTTAAAGAATTGCACGACGCTTTGGGAGAGATAGAAGTTCCCCTGGACATGCTGAATCGACACCGGCGCCGACGGGACACGCAACATTGATCATGGATACGATGCGAAAAGCGCTTTGCAACGTCAGCCGCAGGAGACGAGCAGACAGCAGTATGAGAATGACCTGCGCGATCGAAAACGGCAGCTGGTGGAAAATAACGAAAAATTGCAATCCAACCCGACGGCGGAGGAAGTGGAGGCAGTGGCCTACGCGGGTGCCGCCATCAAGAAATACGCGAAGTTGCTGTAGTACTGGAGAGGAAGAAGAGATCGGGAACGGCAAACGCACACCGCATCAGAACTTTCAGTCGCTCGGCGGCGCCGTGACATGGCAATTGTCACCGGAATTGCTCGACAGTGCGACTGCGCGATCCCGTAGATTCGCGGCATGCCACCTAAGATGGCGAACCGAGGGGAGATGGACTTCAAGCAAACGGTGAAGCCAATGAAGAGGAAGCAGATGCGCAGAGTCTCTGCATCTTGGTTTTTGGTCTCGGATATTTTCAAAGTTATTGCGCGCCCAGCATGGATTTCGAGCCCGCCTTTGCGTGCGAAACAACCATGGGTGCTGGGCGCACGCTCAGACTTTGCGATGACGAGCGACATTGACGCCTGGGGGCCCAGAGGCCTCCGATCGCTATCAACTTCGCCATCTGGAGCAGCTTGGAAGGCCTGGAGGGGGGGCATGCACAGGCTGGTGCCACATGCGCGTAGAGTTCACCATCGTCGCATACTTCGCTTTCATGCGGAGTGGCCCCTGGCAAGAAGCCCAGCAAGGCAGCGCGCCCCAGGGGGGTGAGGCTGGCCCATGTGCCGCGCAGCTAGGGGCGCGCGGTGGCTCGAGGGGGCCCACTACGAGCGGGGTCGTTCAGGCCGCCGCCGCGGGCCTTCGCGGCTCGCGGCAGGCGTCGCGAACGCATGGCGATAGCTTCGCGGCTCGCGAGGCGGAGGGGCCCACCTCCCGGGGCAGGGCATGCCGCGCAATGCCCGCGACGCGGCCGACGCCCTGGACGCGGGCGCAAAACTGAGCGGGGGCAAGGCGTCCGAGCAGGACTCGAACTTGACGAGGAGATCGACGATGAGGATCTGGAGCCGGCGGCCGCGATCTCCTCCTAGACGCGCGCGCGCGACGCCCTGCCAGTGGTAGCGAGGGGGGCGACAGATGGCGAACCTGCGGCGCGTGGCGGATCGGGCGGAATCACGGGAGACGCCCCCGAGCCTGAGAGCTAAATGCACAATTGCAGTCGGAGCCCTGAAGAAGGAACCCTTCTCGTTGGGGAGGGGCTCCGCGTTCCTTGAGTGTTTCGCAGCTTGCCTCAGGGTTTCCTTATGTTTTCGATGGGAAATCAAAGTTCTACTCATAGAAAAAAGGGGCCTCGTTCCTCATTTAGGGCCCCTTAGGTCAACGCCCCGACTGTGCCACACTGCAGCGCAGAAGTGGGCAAAAGAGGGAAAGGCGCGGAACGGGGAGGGCGATGCGGACCGGGCTGGGCGACAGGTCCCCGGCCATCGCTGCAGGCTCGCGGCGATTCGTGGGCGACACCTTCAAGACCCAGCCCGCCCCCCCCCCCCCCCAATCAGTTAGCGACGTCGATAGCGACTGCCACTGCCAAGACTGACGCCGGCAGCCCGCGTGCACGGACATGACAGGTCGAAGCGAGATTTAAGTCGGGCCAGTCCTTCTACAGGAGGAAAATTCAAAAATAGTGAAGAAATAGTATGGGGACGATTCTTTGAGTATTTTTGATAGTTTCGGGGCATGTTTTCACACTTTTCTTATTTTTCGTCTAAAATCAATCCCCCTGTAGGGGGACAGGCCCGACTTAAAGCAAGATGTTGTTCCAGCATGCCAGCCTCGACAAGTCGATGCGGCGCGCGACGTCAGAAGTTTTGCCGAGCGGGCGTCGAAGCGGATGCGAGCTCGATCAGACTGGGGCTTGGTTCAAGGCGGTGAACAGCCACGGCGGCGAGCTCGAGGCCATGCCCCACGCGATCTGCAAAGAATGGGTGCCGACGCGGGGGGTTCTGGGATTCGCCCGCCGCGCCGCGCGTCAGACGTTTGATGCTCATCTCCTGGGTCAGTGGGGCGGCCCTCTCGTGTGCGCTGGCCTTTCGGGCGGATGCAGAGGCCAAGTAATGTCGTGGACCGTCGGCGAAGAAACTCCGCTCGATGATGGGGGGCACGGCTAGCGCTCGCGATCCTCACGTGGCGGTGGAAATTGCGCGCGTGGATTGTAAGAGCAGGCATTTTGTTCCCTTTGCATTAGAGGCTACGACGCAGAGGCTTCGCATTGGCGGGAGATTGTTCGCGCGCCTCGCAACCGCGCTCATCTTGCGTCTCTTTTCGGTCGGCGACATGCAGTGGTAGTTAACGGGCAAAAATCGGCGCCCCCCTACCCGGCTAACCAGCGGCGTCTTGAACGCTGACTCGGACGTCGATCATTCGGCTCGCCAGCTGCGTCTAGACTCGCCAGGCGCGTTCCACTACTCGCAAAGTGCCTACTTGCAGATGTCCGAACAAAACATGCCTTCCTCTCTGTGGTACATCAAAAATCCCCCGCGGCGGATCCAGGCCATTTGCGAGTAGTTATTTTGCGAGTGCTGGCACGCGCTTGTCCAGAGACACGCAGGTCGTCTGCAGCTGCCCAGGCGCGGGGTCTTTTCCAGAGGTTTGAAGAAGCGGGGCCATGTTAGACCAGCTGCGGTGTGAGGAAGTCCACGCCCTCTCCGCCCCCGTCGGCCCGCGGCGTCCGCGCGGCGCCCTCTCTGCAGCTCGACGGGCGCCGCCAGATCTGCCCGGCAGGGACTGCGCCTGCCGCCCAGGGCGACGAGGCGACGCGGGGGGACATTGACGCCGAGATCTCCGAGTTCTGCCACGGCCGAGTCCAACGGACCGAGTTGTGGCCAGGCGTCCAGCACGCGCGCGCCGCACTGATGGCGCACGCGCGCCGAGCGCGACGGCCTGGGCACGGGGGGTATAAGGTATTTCCAGCGCGCCGGCGCTTACGGGCGACGCATGCATCAGCTTGAAGCGCGATGTTCCAGAGGCGCGCGGAGGCGGCGAGGCACGTTCTGCGGTCATGGAGCGCGGGGAGGTGCACCATAAACAACGCGGCGCGCCCGTGCATGCTCCAGACTACGAGCTCGCGCGCGTGTTCGCTACGTGGGGCAGCCCATGACCAGCGCGGGCTTCGAAGAAGCCGGTCGTGCTCGCGCCCGCTTCCAACGCTGGAGGGTGGATTCTTACAAGTGGTCGCGCCGCTATCAGGTGCGCGGGGAGGTATTTGGGAGATTGGAGATTCTGGAGAAGTCGCGGGGGAGATTTTTGGAGTTTCTGTTAGGGTCGATTTGGCCATGATCGAACCAGTCTGACTCTCAATAAGTTCTTAGAGGTCCTGAATGGGAAATCCTTCGTAACGGATCCTGGTTTAAAAGGTCGTTCTTATCAGAGGAATCTTCAGAAGGGGACCCTTAGTAAGGAACCGTGCAAGGAAATGCTTCTTTCGAGATGAACACCAAAAGCGCCCAGGTATGCATCGTGCCTGGAGCGGGAGAAGGAGGAGGAGGAGGAGGAGGAGGAGGAGGAGGAGGAGGAGGAGCGTCGTTCCTGGGGGAACCTCTCCGTTTGAGAGGGGCGGTGAAGGAATTCGCCGGCCCCCGACCACAGAACACCCGCGGCAAGGGGGCCCGCGGCGCTCGGACGAGGAGGAAGAGGAGGCCGAGCCGTCCAAACGCGAGAGCCCACACCCAGTCCGTCCAATCGCATCCGCCGCCGCGCAGAGCGCACGCGATGAGATCGTCACACAGGGAGGTCGTGTGCAAACGGTGCACGTCGTCACCGGGCATGCCGCATGCACGCGGGTTGGCCGATCTTCTCGCACCACGCTTGGACAGCTTGCCTTGCCAATCGAGTGAGCCAGCATGTGAGGCAAAAAGTACCACCCGCCCAACCAGGCCCGTTCAATGTTGGGGAATCTGCGAACTCCTGCCATGCGTCATACGTCCTGTTGCCATGCTTTATTTGTCCAACCGCGCACGCGTGGCATCTCATGTCGCCTGCGTCTATTCTATTATCCGTAGGGGCTTCGCGCTCTGCCGCCAACCCCTGTTCTATAAGAATGGAAGATGTCAGGGCTGTGTCGGGGTGTATGGGCGCCGTCTTGAAGACATCTGGGAACATCATGTGGGGACGGATTGGAATCAGCAGCACATATTTAGACGTGGGGGCTATTATTAAGCACTGCTGCATTTTTTGAGCGCTCCCCGCGCGGATTCTGGATACTTTGCGACAGAATTAGGTTTCGGGAGCACGAGCCTGGTGTGATTTTCAAAGCAGTTTGATGTTTCGGGAGCGCAATGTGGCGCAGGGTTCAAACCACTCTGGCCTCGGACCTGGCGAAACTTACGATGCGACCATCGCGTAGTTTGTCAAAAGGATTCTTGCTTCGGGAGCGTGAATCTGGAGCACTGTATTGCGGGTTTTCGACTCGGGAGCACGAATCTTTAATTTACAAAAGATTTTGACGTCGGGAGCGCGAACCTGGGAAAATTGACCATGGACTTTGGATCGGAGCCACATTTGGCAAAATTTGCCAGGGATTCTGGCTTCGGGAGCGCGAATACGGCGAAATTTACTATGGGTTCTGGCTCCGGGAGCGCGAGCGTGGCCCGATTTACAAGACGGGTGTTCGAAATCGGGAGCGTACAGCAATGATTCTGGATTCGGGAGCACGGCTCCGGCGTAATTGAAAATGCATCTTGGCCCCGAGAGCGCGAATCCAATTTAGTTTTCAAAATGGATTCTGGCGTCGGGGGCGCGGGCCGCAGGTATTGTGAAGTGTGCTCGGACCCTCCAGGGAGTTCTGAGAACCCTGGCGGGATGTGTCCGTGTGTGGTAAATGCAGATGTTGTTTTTCGGTCCCCCCCCCCCTCGCGCGGACAGTGCCAACTTACAGCAGGAAGCAGAAAGTAGAACAATAATTGCCGAGGGTGAGCGCTGGAGTTTAAGCAGGTTGCAGGAAGCCTCATCCCCGCAGCCTGATGACCCCACCAGGGGACCTAAGGGTTCTCGGTGGCGCACGGATTGTAATCATGCCGCGCAGCAAGTGGTTGTGAGGAAGGCTTCAATCCATCGGTTTAACCGGAAGCTGCAAATGTTACTTGCAGAGTTTGCTTTGCTGGTGAAGTTGAGTCTAGGAACACACACACAGCTCAATCAAGAACATGCAGTCATGATCGTTCTCCCCTTCTCCTTCATGGCATTTCACGTTCCTCTTGCCATATTCTTCCTCCAGGTCCGAGTTTGGAGCCCTTGTCGTGTGTATTATGTACCTGCTTCTGCCCGTGGCGCTACAGGTTCCGAGCGTAGCTTGAGTTTACCTACCGTTGCCATGCCCGCGCCCCTGCCTAGTGCGGTAGGTTCGTGTCGTGTCGACTGGCGGCGACCCCGCCAGCGGCGTTCAATTTTGAACGCCGCGGGCGACCCAGAATTGTTCGATGTGGAACGGTTTGGACGTTTTGGAAACGGCCGATCGTTCAAGGTTGAACGGTTCCCGCGGTGTCAGAAACCAGCGCCGAAGTCGGCACGACACGAACCTGACGTACTTCGTGAGTCCTCTGAGCCTGACTCTGGGCCCTGGCATGGAACGTAGACTTAGGAGGGCCCACCGCGCCCCCTCACCACCTGCGAGCACCACTCGCTCGCGAGGAGCGGCCCTCGATCGCCTTGGCGCGTGTTTGTGTGTGTGTGTGTGAGAGAGTGAGTGTAGGTGTCTGTGTGTGTGTGTCTGTGTGTGTGTCTCTGTGTCTGTGTTTGTGTCTGTGTCTGCGCGTGTATGCGTCTATGCCTTCTCTTCCTCCCCCGTGCAACGCGTCATTCATTTGCATACAGTGCGCCCCCTGTTGCCAGATCGCCGTAGCAGTCACCCTCTGCCCAGCCGCCGACGCAAAACAAGTACGTGTGTGTGTGCCGCGTGACGAGCGTCGGCGTGTCCCTCTCCGCTCCGCCGCTGTCTCGCAGGGCTCCACCTGGGCGTGCTTGCCGCAGCCTCGCCGGCCCCTTCCGCCGTCGAGGTCCTGGTCCAGAGGTCACCTGTCTTGGCTTTCCCAGCGCGGCCCCCGCAGACAGTCCGGCCCTCGTCTCTGGGGGCCGGCCCTGCCCTCCCTAGTCGCGTTCGGACGGCCCCGGGGCTCGGCCAGGACCCCCTAATCATGTGGAGGCCAGAAGCGGCGACACGGCCAGTCCGTCTTGATCCGTAGCCATTTTGGTTCAAGCTGTTTTGGCTCAAGCCGAGCATTCGCTCGATACAGCCTGGCTCAAACTGGGATGTTTCTGTTGCGTTGGCGCATTGCGCTTGCCCACCAAGGCTGCACCCGATATGCAACGCTGCTGGCACAAGCGCCGGAAGCTCGCAATCAAAGCGACGGATCAAGTTGTTTGGCATCTGCGTTCTGGCAATGTTAACCAGATGTGCATGGCGACAGGTTGGCCGAGTGATGTTTGAACCTTTCTCGTCATTGCAGGGCATATCTGCTGACACTCAACGGGCATGTTCTCGTTGGGGCGAGAAGGAGCTGCAGCGGATGGGTCAGGTATCATCGGCGCAGGCTGAATACTCTTGTGGCAATACGACGGGTGTAGTGGGTGCTGGTGCAGCTTGTGGTTCCGCGGTTGGTCAGGCAGGAGCCAGCATCACTCTTCGACGCTCAGATCGTCCAAGTCATGAGGATGCGAAGCCGACATCCAAAACACAAGTCTGCTGGAACACTAGCGAACCTGACCATCGCTCAAGTTACGAGAAGGAGGCGGCTGCAAAACACATGATTCAGACAAACATTGGTACACATTTTCAAGTCCGATGGCTTGGCGAAGGGACCTGGGCTGACGGCATTTGTAAACCCAATTCTTTCGCGACAGACGATTGGGTGGGAATTCAGGTGAAATCCACGTTCGGGAGAAGAGCTGATACGAGTTACCGCTTCCGTAACACAAGAGGATATGACGGCTTGCTTATCGTATGCGTGTCGTTAGATGGTACGGGTATGTGGACAATTCCAGGGCACTCGGTCTCGGTAACAACACTTGCAATAGTAGGGGGTGGCAAATGGGATGTGTATCGCCGTGCTTGGAGTGATTTCCCGTCCGAAGTTCAAGCTGCTTGGGGCCAGCCTGGTTTCTTTTTGCGGCGGCCAGCAGAGATTTGGAACATGCCTCTCTCGCCGCGTCACCGAATCGGGCATTTGGGAAATATGCTGTTCAAGCAGATATTAAGCAGTGCAGGTCTATCCGTGCATGACCCCTTTGTGGAGCACGGTCCCTTTGATCTGATCGTGCAAGGGGCCATCCGCGTACAAGTGAAAACTCGCAGCAAACCTCGGAACAATATAGGCGGTTATCATGTCTCGCTTTATCGATCGTCGGGGAGAAGGATCAAGAACTTCAGGCAATATGATCATTCGGACTTCGACGCCCTCGTTGTAAGTATCGTGGACGGCGCGAGGCTGACAGGTGTCTTTGTGTTTCCAATGTTTGAGCTATCTCGACTTGGTGTCGTCAACCTGGACACTTCTGCTAGATCGGGGAGCCGATCGTTCACTGTGTACCCTCCGTGGGCAACGCCAGCAACGGCCAGGACAATGGAAGCCCAATCTTATCAGCAACGGTTTTTCTGTCCGATTCCTACGGGGAGACACATGACTGAGAATGAGGTGTGTAGCTTGTGGACTTTATTAGAGGACTGTAAGACGTTTGTGGACTAGTAGTCACGACGCATCGCTTATCGAACAGCAGTCTCACCAGGAACGATCCATGTCGTAAGCCTGACGTATCCAGTCCCCGTAGAGACGCTAACGGCGATGTAAGTAACGGCGATGTAGGTTTCGGTATTGTAGACATGGTTGGTTCTTGGCCAACCCAAGTGTAAGAAAGTCTTGCTCGCGTTTCCTGAGCGTCGCAAAAAAAACAGCCAGTCCGTCTTGATTCTGGCTTCCACGCGTTGATGTCTGGTCTTGGCATTTGCGCGCCCCCAACGGGACGCCCGAGCCGGCAAACCCAGGTTCGCCCGTGGTGGCGCGAAGCGAACCGCGCGCCGCAGCCCGGGCCAGGGCAGGGCTCGACCTGAGCGGCGGTTTGGCGACTTCGTGCCGTGCTGCAGCAGAGGCGGCGCCGAGACACCACGAGAGAGAGCGTCAAGCAGTGGCGAAGCGTCCGGGCTCGTCTATAGCCCTACCAAACAATGTTCTACGAACCTTTTGCGGTTTCCACGAAATATTCTTAGAACATTTCTGGGTTCTAAGAGCAGTTCGTGGTAGGACTATAGGAATGCCGGGACGGTCGGCCCCTGCTCAAGAGCGAAGACGAAGCGAGCACGGAGAGAGCACCGTCTGGGCCGAGTCCTGGGGCCAGAGCGCCCGCCCTCCGCCAGAGCGGGCGGCGCGAGGCAGCGCGAGGGCGCGAGGGTCATCGCGCGTCCCGGATCGCGGGGCGCGCGCTGCGCGGAGCGGGGCGGCCCGGCGGCGCCCCGAGGCGAGGCCGAGGACGCGCGCTCCGCCGCGCTCGGCGCGGCGGAGCTGAGGGCCGCTCTCGAGGATGATGGGCAAATCTTCCACCACCGCTACCATATGTAGGACGCGGGAGAAGGGATGATGAGGAGGTCCTCCTCCCCCTCCTCCCCCTCCTCCTCCTCCTCCTCCTCCTCCTTCTCCTCCTTCTCCCCTCCTCCCCTCCTCCTCCTCCTCCTCCTCCTCCTCCTCCTCTCTCCTCCTCCTCCTCCTCCTCCTCCTCCTCCTCCTCCTCCCTCTCCTACCTATGGAAGTAGTGGTGGAGAATAGGCCCCATCAAAGGACCGGGACAACGAGATCAAGCTGCTCATGTACCGCCTCCAGGAGCTGCCTACCCTCCGGGTCATGGGTCATGGGGCGGCGGCGCGGCGGCGGCGGCGCAGCAGCCGTCGGCGGGTGACGTGATCGTGTTCGTAGTCGTGGTCTCTGTCGCGGTCGTGGTCGTCGTCGGCGTCGCCGCCGTCGTGGTCGTCGACGTCGACGTCGTGGTCGTCGTGGTCGTCATCGTCGTCGTCAACGTCGTCGTCAACGTCGTCGTCAACGTCGTCGTCGTCGTCGTCGTCGTCGTCGTCGTCGTCGTCGTGCTCGTCGTGGCCGTCGTTCTTTCCCTCCTTGGGGCCGCCCGCCCCCGGATAATGAAAAGCGCACTGGCTCCAGGAGCTGCTTCTCCTCCAGGGCGGTGCTGACTCGTGTGGTGAGGATACCGTGGCTGGGGCCATGATATCTTCCAGACTTCGTGCGCCAGCTCCCGGAGCTGAGGCTTCGAGCTGCGCACTGACAGCCCCGGGGGTTCGATGTATACTCCACGTCGTTTGGTAGTCCCGACTGGCCTCGGGGCTCGATGTATACACACGTGCTGGCTGCAAGATCCAGTGGTGAGGCTCCGGGCTGCGCGCAGACAGGGGTCGAAGTTCTAGGTTTTCGGGTGTTTTCGATAGTTTCCCAGCATACGGCTGCTCTCCAGCAGCTGCACTTCTCCAGGAGCTTTCTGGTGCCCAGATTGTTTCGACCGGCCGCTAGAGACCCGACGTATGACCCGAAAACCAGGCGACGAGGGTCACCCCAGCTCGATGCATACACCTCGTCGTTTGGGCGGCCCATGAGCCAATGAACTCGGCGAAGGAACACAGTGTACAGACGCTCCAGCATCTTACAATTCGAGAAGCTGGGGCGTCTAATCCGCCGAGCTCCTTGGCTGGCCAAACAACGTGTTTATTGCATCGAACCCCTCCCAGACCTCAACAGGCCCCCGAGTATTCTGAGGTGGTCTTGCCGCCCTGGCGGCGCACCTGGGGCTCTCCGCAATCCAGGCATGGGGTGTTGAGACCGCCCGGGACTATTCGGGAGGCTTGTTTATGCTGGCCAGGACTACATGGGTGGGCGGTCTGCGCGCAGCCCGGAGCCTTACCACTGCTTCTCCCCCAGAGCATCCTTGCGGCTCGCAGCTATCGCGTCTGGAGGCGCTTCGCCGTTCTGGGATGCGTCGGAGTCCGCTCAGGGCCCCAGGTGGCCTTGAAGGGTAGGAGAACGGTCGCACCGTCCCGGGTAGCCACTGATATACTTGAGGTTGCGCAGTGGGCGGCAGGCACGTCGAATAACGTGTTCCGTCGCAGCGCGCGGCATATATATATATATATATATAAAAAAATATTTATATTCATATACTCATATATATACTCATATATATATATGTGTGTGTGCGTAGCACTGGAGGTCCTGCCCCTCGCGGGCCATCTTGTTGTGCAAGGGCTTGGCCGTCTGCTCTTGCTTGCCCGAAGGGCAAGCTGGCCGGGGAGCGGGTCGAGAGGTCTGGGAGCCCGCGGCTCGAGCACGTCTCGGGAGGGAACAAAAAACACAGACTCAACGAATCGTCGATTCCCAGGAAAATATTTCGAAAATATAGGAAGTGGGGGGAAGACAAAAACCCAGAACATATGGGAACATATGGGGGATCCTGTTATTTGCGTCTGTTTATTTGTGTGTTCCGGGGCCCCTTCAACGTCGACAGTCGTCGCAGGTTTGGGTCTGGCGGCGGAACAGGTTGGTGGCGAGAGCCTGCACAAGAGTATCGCGCCCGCGGAGCGGGCTTCACGGCGGGCCGGCATCAGAACGAGCCGCGCCGGCCAGTCAGCACAAGCCAGTCACTAAGCTCGTGGATTCCAGTCTTTGTCGTTGAGTTTGTTACCCAGTCTGTGATGACCGACCTGTGTTGACGCGTTTATCTTTTCGGACAAGATCAATGACTTGTGCTGACGCGTTTAACTTGTTGGTCAGGGTTTATACGCTCGCACATCTGGAGGCCAGCCAATCGGCAAAATGAGAAACATAGAGCGTGTTGCCTTCGCGGGCGAGTGGTCGGGCACCTCGGCGACTCTTGGGGTTCTCTCGTGCCCTCTTCGAGTCCTCCTGAGACTCTCTTGCGTAATTCTTTGGACGCCCTGGCTCTCCACGAAATAAGCGGGTCCTGAGGGAAACAGGCCCTGAGATCTCTCGCCGTTTTCGACTTCCCTGGGCCCTCCCCAGGGCCCTCCACGGGTCACTGGACTGTCCGAAAATTAGCCAGGATGAAGAGAACCAGGCCTCCCATCGAAGCTGTCCCCCCCCTCCCGTCTGGGCTTCGGAGGGCCCCGAGACAGCCGTACGAGGCCCAGAAGGAAGCCACCCCGGGGACTGCCAGAGGCGGCCAGTGGCTCCACAAGACGGCGCGGGCGGGGGCCCCTCGAGACGGCCCAGGGCCCAAGACCGCCCCAGGACGGCTCCAGGACGGCCTGCCCAAGACGACATGCAGAACTTAGGGGAACGAAAAGTGACGTGAATATAACAACTCGGAGGTCCGCGCGGATTTCTTGGATCGGCGCTGGGGCCCCCCGGCGGCGCCTCCGGCGCCGCCCCTGGCGCGCTCCGCGCGCCAGGGAGGGGGGTCCAGCGCCGATCCGAGAAATCCGCGCGGATCTCCGAGTTTCATGTTTATGCCACTTTTTGTTCCCCGAAGTACCCGATCTGGGTCTTGTTCACACGCCCCGAGACTCAGTCAGTCAGCCGATATCTGGCATCGAGAGTGCAAATTGGCATGCAGGAAGCTAGTCCTGGGGGGAGCGTGTCCTGGAGCTATACAACATGCAGGTCCGCCCGGTCCCGCCCCTCTCGCAGGAAGATGGACCACAATCGGAGGAGGAGGGAGGCAGAGAGGGAGGGAGGAAGAAGGTGGACCTGTAGTCATCTTCGAGTTCTGCTCGAAGAGCCTGGCGGCAGGCCTGCAGGCCAGGCCACACCCCGCCTCTCACGACCGTCCTGCCTGCCAGTCTCGCCCTCACCGATGGGAGCCACAGCCCCCCCCCCGGAGCCCCTCCACGCACCACGCCGGCCCGATTGGCATTACAGCTCCAGCGTTCCTCGAGATATCCTGGCGGTGCGGTTGTCCACGCCGGGCGATTTCGCCCGGCCTCGGCCTCCGGGGGCCAGTGCAGGTCGATCCGGCCCGAAGCATGCAGAAGAAAGGTGGAGAGCAGGGCTCGGGCCGAGTTTGCGTCCACGATGCTGCATTTTTTTGTTGTGCGGGAGCTGGGCTGCCGTTTGAAGTAGCCACGGACGTTCCCAATTATCTGCATCTAGGTTGCATCACGCGAGGTTGCGCCGTGGCTGTCGAACAAAAAAAAAAAAATGTTGTGCGGCGCCGGGTCGTAGGGACAGCGCAAGCAGGTTCTGAGGGCTGTCGCCGCCGTCCGGCTCTCGGTGCCCTGCCCAGGTCCCCCCGGGCTCTCAGAAGAACGAGGCGGGATGCCGAGCTTGTCTTGGGGGAGGCCCCCAAGGTCCAGGACCCGCATCCCTCGGGACCCGATCCCTGCGTGCCAAGGCCTCGGCATCGTTCGGACGTGTGTGTTTGTGTGTGTGCGAGGGGGACCATCGAGGAGCAGTTTAGGTCATCTTGCGAAAACTACACGCACGACGCCGAAACATGCACGGGGAATGGGCGTCCGAGCAATGGCGAGTGGCGCATCGCAGGCTGAAGTGTGCAGCGGCCTCTTGGCGAAGGTGGGGACAGACATACATGCGCTCCGCTCCTGATCCGAGACGCCAAGTGTCAAGACTTCGGCTGTAGACGGCCCGCGCTTGTCCCACGATAGGCCAGAACGTTGGCTGCGTGACCTCGTAGTGCTTGCCGTCGATATTGTATCCTATGTCTTCGCCGTTGCTGTGCAGAGGGATCCCACATGTTCTTCTTATTCATCCTCCCGCTCCTAATAACGAGCGGTCTGCTTCTCCTTTTCCGCACCCGCCTCGGAGGGTTGTGATTGAGTTTGACGGGATACAGAGGTCGCGCCAAGTTTTCGCGACCAGGTAATGCAATAGCAGCTGCAGTCGAGCATGGTCGAGGGTAGAGGCGGGAGGAAGTGTTCAACATAGATGGGTGACGCTTGGTCACCTGATTATCCAGAGAGGCTTCGGCGCGCAGTTATCGTGGGGGCGGAGACACCTTTTGGAAGACGCAGTGCGTTTGCATCGAGGTCCAGAGGAACAACTCTCCGTCGGTGGCGGCTCGCGCCAGTGGCAGCGCAATGGGGAGGCCGTCGCCCGCATTCTATGGAAGCAGCAGGCGGCCGCCGCCGCGCTTTATTGGTTTGGTATCGGCACCCTTCGACCCCTGGAGCCCCAGGGTGGCGCAAAACTTGCCCCGTTTGGAGGAAACAGCATTGCGTCGGGTATGTCCCCCCACAGGAGGAACCTTCAAGAATAAAGCGTAGCCTAGTGATGTGTTTTCGTGTTCTTTCGATTGGTACTTGCTTACATGCCCGACCTAAAGACAGCGCGAAGATGCAGTATCAATGCTTTAGGACGGGCGCTTCACCGCGAACGGTGGGTCATGGCCGCCCTTCTTGGTCGGTGCGCAGCACAGGGCTCTCATGAGGCGGGTCGGTGGCGCTACACGTCTTTCCTCCATAGCGGGCGTCGGAGGCAGGGATCGAGTAAATCTTTAGTTCGTCCATATGGCCGCGCACTGACTATGCCTGATGCGTAGGGCGATTCAAAAAGAGAGTCTTGTTCGGCGAGCGACATTTAAACCATAATGGTCTTTAGTGATAACCGCCCCCCCCCCCCAAAGCACTCGGCTGGCAATTCGATTCGTCCTATCCCGCCTCGTCCTTCCTCTCATCATCATCCTCCTCATCATCATCATCATCAGCACCATCATCGTCATCATCAGCATCGCCATTGCCATCGCCATCATCATCACCATCATCAGCACGTCATCATCATCATCATCATCATCATCATCATCATCATCATCATCATCATCATCAGCATCAACATCATTTTCATCGTCATCATCATCATCATTATCATCATCGTCATCATCATCATCACAATCTGGGACCCTCATCCCCCCTGCCGCCGCGGGGGAATGACTTGTCCCAGTATTGTTTGGGGTCCCAATCCGTCAATAAGCCCGCGCAACACATGATCATTTTCCCATGATTGGCGGTTTCTGTAGCGGCCCGCTGCGGTTACCCATTGTGCCACTTGACGGACTCACCTGGCGTCGCTGCTCCCTGACCCCTGCCGAGGTGTGATGCTAGGTTTTGGGCCCAAGCGCGACAAGCACTAGTGCACCACACCTTGCTGTGGTTGAAAATCGGCGCGGCCGACGGGGACCCTCCGGAAGGGCACGGCGCCCGTTTGCAGCTCGTGTGTGTGTGAGGTTTCAGGAGGGGCTGCTGCTTCTTCGGGAGACGTGATGCGTGCAGGCTGCGAGGCGCTTGGTGAGCTGCAGGAGGCACCAGCACGCACGCTCGCGGACGAGGCCTGCGGTCGGAGAGGAGTCCTCCCGGGGCGCCGCGCGAACAGGAGCTGTCGTCGCAGTACACGCCCGTGCCGGGCGACCACGTTGACTCGACCCTGGCGCGCTGGGTGAACGGATACAGGAGCTCGGGGCGGTGCTCCTCTCCCTGCGGGGGCCAAGGACCTAGGCAGGTCTAGGGTGAAGAGAAATCGCTCCTCCCCCTCCCCCTCCTCCTCCTCCTTCTCCTCCTCCTCCTCCTCCTCCTCCTCCTCCTCCTCCTCCTCCTCCTCCTCCCCCTCCTCCTGCTCCTCCTCCTCCTCCTCCTCCTCCTCCTCCTCCTCTTCCTCCTCCGCCCTCCTCCTCCTCCGGAGCGGTTCTGGGAGCGCTCCAGAGCGCCCTGAAAACTGGCGATGCATCCTTCAGACCCTCCAGCTCTCAGAGATCCCCCGTGCATTCCATGCGAAGTATCTGCACCCTGCCCTCGCCACACAGCAGCAGGAAGAGCGGGGGGAGATCACGAGGGCACGCGGAGAGGGATGAGGATGGTGAGAAGGACTGGCCAGAGGGGCTCGGGGTAGGACGGGGAACAGAGAAGAAGCAGTGCGAGGACGATGAGGAGAGGGGCAGGAGGAGGAGGAGGAGGAGGAGGAGGAGGAGGAGCAGCAGCAGCGGCACAACTTTGAGGATGAGGAGAGCTGGGGGGGGAGGAGAAAGGCGCGGAGGGGAAGGGGGCAAGAGCATGTGGAGGGGAAGTAGGCCCACCAGGAGGCAGGGCACGAGGGAGGATCTCCGCTTCTCCCTCAATTCTTCTCGTACTGGTCAGGGGAATTGCTTGGTCAAGTCGAGGAGGAGGAGGAGGAGGAGGAGGAGGAGGAGGAGGAGGTGCTAGCGGAGTTGTTGGGCTGACCAGGGACGTGTGGGCGTCCGCGGGCAAGTGCAGCTCTCGGAGCGCACTTGCGCTCCGCCGTCGGATGCAGGACACGGCAGGCGCCCGGTCCCCGAGGCCCCCGCGAGGCCTGTCCGCCGAGGAGCACGGCCCGCGCGCAGGGCACTTGCCAGCAGCTTGTCCGCTGCCCGTCCCAACGCCCCCCCCCCCCCCCCCCCCCCCCGCCCCCCCCCTCCGGCCCCCCCCCCCGGCCTGCCCCGACCAGTGTCAGGGCGGGTCGGGGCAGGTCGGGGGGGGGAGTCGTCGTCGTCGTCGTCGTCGTCGTCGTCGTCGTCGTCGTCGTCGTCGTCGTCGGACTTCCCCGCGCGTGCCGCCAGCCATGTGCCCGTCGTGAGCGGCGACTGGGCTCTGGGGTCCCGGGGCCCGCCACTGTGGGGTCCTGGACGTCCTGGAGGCTGGGTCCTGGGGGATCCTGGGGGGCCCTGGGGCCGCGTCCTGAGGGGGGGCCGCTTCGGTTCCAATTTTTTGTTGGGGTGGCCGTTCGGGGCGGTTTCGAACCGTCGGTGGTCTGGTTTGGGCTCTGTTCGCGGGCACGCGACGACGCTCGACGACACGATGAGAGCGACGACGTTCGTCGGCGACGCCGGACGTCGAGGAGCGACGACTTACGACAACGTTCGAAAGCGACGCCGGATGACATTCGCCGTCGAGTGCGACGACGTGCGACCAGGATTTAGTGAACGAGTTCGACCAGAGGTGTGAGGACACGCGAATTGTGCCTGCCGGTTTCGATGCCGATCAGACGTCCGTCAAGCCGGTGTCCGATTCGATCCGATTCGGTCTTACCGACGTCAGCCGATTCGATGTGTCCACCGATGTTTGGCGACTTCTGCCGATTCGATGCTCGAGCCATTCGATGCTGGCGCCGGCTTCTGTATTGTGGCGATGAGGCTTTCGGGAGCTGCTCGTTTTTTGGGGGGATTTGTTGAAGATGCCTAGAGTAAGTCTCGGCGGCGAGCCTGGGAGGGAAGTGAGAAGGAGAAGGCCTTCCCAGAAGGATTGGAAATCCCCGGGTTTTCTAAGACGCTTTCTAAGCCTTCCCCGACGACACAGAAAACTTCTCAGAAGGCCCGAGGGCGTCTGAGAAGTCCCGCCGCCTTCCGAGAAGGCCTTCTCTCCTTCTCATTCTCCCCCCTCGCTCGCCGCCGAAAGCCACCTCCGCCCCCCTGCCTTTCCAGGAGCGGAGGTGGGGCCACTCTAACGGACTGCGGGTCCCCACCCCCCGCTGTTCGGGAAGCACCAGGGGAGCATTTGGATGTGTCAGACACCCTCCCTCCAAGCTCCCTCTCCGCAGGCCCCTTCAACAATTTGTTTTCATTGCGTGAGGTGGCCCACTAGAAGATAACCGTCTGAGAATCTTCGAACGCGACTCGAACGCCGCTGATCAACGTGACTGTTGTGTCCTCGCAATCTTAAGTCGTGCCAGAACACGTTTTCTGGGACTTCAAAGCCGCTTATTAACGTAACCGTTAATCTTGGCAACCCCAAATCGCGCCACAACACCGCTCTTGGGACTTCAGCCATGCGAATACATGAAGCGGTGCCGACATGTTAATACGCATGTGCACGGCGCTAAAACGAGAGCCACTTGTTGAACAGGAGCCGCCCCCCATTGTTGAAATGGCTGCGAAGAGTTAGGACGAATGCGCGCGGCTCTCATGCGAGAGCCACCGTTTAAAAGGGACCTCTCCTCCATCCTTGACACTGCTGTACGCTTTTGAGACCAGTGTGCGGCGCCGAGGCGAGAGCTACATGTTGAAAGCCGCCCGCCCTCCATCCGTGAACCAGTTGCGAACTTCAAGCCCCATGAGCACGGATGGTGCTGAAGGCTTGGGCGCGAAGCGCCCAGTCCAGCCCGCCCTGCCGACATGTCTGGGGGTGCGACGGGGAGGAGGTCTGCGCAACGAAGAGGGATGGCAAAGGGAGGAGGGAGCTCAGCTCGAGCCCCTGGACGCCCTCGCCTGGAAGTTGATGCCCGGCAGCGCAGAGAGTTCCTGGCAGGCAGGATGCCGTGGCCGCGAGGCCACCACGTCTCGAGGCCGTGGCCACGGGATCGCCCCGAGGAGGGGTGCGAATGGTGGTCCAGGCTCCAGCACGTGTGATATCATAGGTTCTTTCCCGCCAGCCCCGCCGAGCACAGTTCGAAGGGTGATGAGACAGCCACTGGAAAGGATGGGCCAGCCCAGAGCCAGTTGAGAGCGGCGCTTCGCGGGCTCCGCGCGACCGCAGCGGCTGCAGCCCCCGACGGGACCAGCCGCGGGCGAGTGCCGCCCAGGGAAAGGAGGTCCTGCGCGTGCTCTGACGGCCCTGCCAGTGAGGGCCGACACCATTCAGGGTGTTCCCGAGGTCCTCTCGCATCTCCTCGCGCTCCTCTCGCGGCAGACGACGAGTTCGAGGACGATGTGGGGCGGACGCATAGAGGGGCCGATGAGGACGGGTCGTCGCGGCCGGCTGCGTGGTCAGAGGTGGCGGCGTGCGGCGACTGTGTACGCCCCTCGAAGAGGAGGAGGAGGAGGAGGAGGACGAGAAGGAGGGAGGAGACCTCGGAGGAGGATGAGGAGGACGAGAAGGAGAAGGAGGACGAGAAGGAGAAGGAGGATGACGAGAAGGAGAAGGAGGAGGAGAAGGATAAGGAGGAGGACGAGAAAGGAGAAAGGAGAGGGAGGGGGAGGAGGAGAACGAGAAGGATCGAGGAGAGGAGAAAGGAGGAGGAGGAGGAGGAGGAGGAGGAGTAGAAAGGGAAGGAGGCCTCAGGGGGCCGCCCCTCGGGAGCCTCCTTGGGCCATCCTGGGACCCCCTTGGGCTGTCTTGGAGCCCTTTGTTGCGGCGATCTCGGGCCGCCTTGGGACGAGCTCGCCGTGGGGCAAGGGCGCCCTCGAGGGCGCGAGGTTATTCGCGCTTCGCGCTTCGGCTCCGATTCCTCCTCACCCTCCACTTCTCCCCTGGGAGGCGGCGCGAGAGCGCGAAGCTATTCGCACTTCGCGCTCGCGCAGCGCGAAGCGCGAAGTCGGGGGCCCTTGTGGAGCGCCGGAAGCCCTGAAGAGGAATGTGGCTCGGCGCTCTTTGGGTCCGTCTTCGTACGCTCCTCGGGAGGCTCTCGGCGGTCCGTGGGGCTGCTGTGAGTGGGCTCGCAGGCCCACAAGCCACGCCCCAGGACCGCCCGGGAACGCCCAGGAATCCTGGGAAATTCGCAACCTGGGACGCACTCGTCCAATTCACAACCTGCAATTCCAGGAGTTCTGGGAACTTCACAACCTGGAATTCACGCCCACAGCCCTTCGTCCTTACACACGGGTATGAGCTCTGGGACACCACTCCATTCCGTACGATCGGTTCGCGTCGTCTCGACCGGCGGCGACCCCGTCAGCGGCGTTCAGCGTTGAGCGCCGGGGGCGACCCAGAATCGTTCGCTGCGGAACGATTTGGACGTTTCGGAAACGGCCGATCGTTCAAGATTGAACGATGCGCGGCGTCGATTGTGCCTTTAGGGCCCAGGTCTCTGTGCGAGTGCCGAGAAAGCCTCGTGCTGATTGATTGGCCCCTCGGTAGCCAGGCACAGCGGCTGCTGTATTGCAAGCTTATGTTGCAGCGCTCTGGTGATGTAGTATTTGCATGGACTGCGGCTGAGTTGCATGTGCGCAGTCAAAGAATCCCGCCCTGACGAATTATTTGCTTCTGACATCGCGCGCTCACGCTACATCAGTCACGACCGAGACGATCTTCAGGAACCAACGCCGAAGTCGGCATGACACGAACTTGACGTACGTACATGCTGAAGGCACGGTGGCGGGTTCGCCTACGAGTGCACTTCGTCGGGGCATCTGCACGAGGCCCTGGGCCTCCTTGCGAAGGGGCTCAAGTTCCTGGCCCACGTTGCTGCAGCCTTGTTTCGACTGCATCCGTCCCCGAAGTTGCTGGGCCGATCTTCCACCACCACCACACTAGGCAAGAGAGAGAGGAGGAGGAGGAGGAGGAGGAGGAGGAGGAGGAGGAGGAGGAGAAAGAGGAGGAGGAGGAGGGAGGAGGATGAACAGAAAGAATAATAAGATAAAGAAGAATATAAGAAACATAATATGAGGAGAAGGAGGAGGATGGGCAGGACCTCCCCATCCTCCCTTCTCCCCAGCCTCAGTCGGTGGCAGTGGCGGCGGAAAATCTGCCCATCAGAAGTTGCCCATGCCCGGCCCTCGCCTCGCAGAAGCTGGGCGAGGCCCTGGCTGGCGGGCGCGGCAGCCGTTGCGGGAGCGTCCCGCCCACCCCTCAGGCCAGCCGTGCCGTTCTTCCGCCTGAACCCCGGCCTCTACCTGTTCGGGCGGCGCCAGGCCGCACCACAGGGGGGGGCGGGTGGGGATGCAGAGGCGTGTGGCGCTGCTGGCGGAGGCGGGGAAGAGGAAGAGGCGGAAAAGGGGGAGGAGGAGGAGGAGGAGGAGGAGGAGGAGGAGGAGGAGGAGGAGGAGGAGAAGGGGACGGGGAAGGGGACGGGGAAGGAGGTAGAGGAAGGGGATGGAGGAGCAGGTTGAGGAAAGACTTCGATGAGGCGGAGACCAGTTTGAAGAGAAGGGGGAGGATCCAAACAAATTGTGGCAGTACCATGAACAAGATTGGGACCCCATCAGTCGACGAACAGCGCAAGCACGATGAGGACCGCGACACCGAAAAGGAGTGGAAGTGATGGCGAGGACGGCCCGACAGGGTGGTATCGCTATCCCCCCGCCGCCCTGGGCGCCGGCGCCGGCTCCCCGAGCGGCTCCGCGGTGCACTACCGCATGGCGGCCGTGCTCCTTCAGGACGCACGCATCCTTGGCCGCTTTCGCTGGCCGCGCCCCGCTCGACGAGCTTCGACATGGGCGCCCGAGGTCCTTGCATCATTATCGCGCATCTTTAGGATACGGGTCGTCTGTAGCTGTTTTGTTGGCGCCCTCCGAAGTGGCTCGGGCGGCGGGCGGTCCCAGCGAGTGCTTGCCAGCGCCGGCGCGGGCTGGCCAGGCTAAGGGTGCCCCCCTGAGGTCGGCTGGAGGCTGTGGGATTCGGCCAGGCTTTCTGGGTAAGGTGCTTTCTCCTCTCTCCGCTCTCGCTTCCCTGCTCTCTCCTCCTCTCCTCCTCCTCCTCCCTCCTCCTCCTCCTCCTCCTCCTCCTCCTGCTCCTCCTCCTCCTCCTCCTCCTCCTCCTCCTCCTCCTCCTCCTCCCTCCTCCTCCTCCCCCCATCCTCCTCCACACCTCCTCCTCCCCCTCCTCTTTCTCCTCCTCCTCCTCTTCCTCCTCCTCCTCCTCCTCTTCCTCCGCCTCTTCGTTACCCTCCTCCTCCTCCTCCTCCTCCTCCTCCTCCTCCTCCTCCTCCTCCTCCTCCTCCATTCGGTGTCCTTATAAATAGTGTCGCCCTGTCGCACCCCGAGGCCAGTTTTTTGGGCGGGCCGGGCGTTTCGCCTGAGACTTCCTCACCATTTATGACCCTGAAGCTTGAACATTGGCAACAGTTTCACAGATGGGGCGGGTCGTTTTCAAAATGTGGTTCTTGCCTTAGCGCCGCGCACATTCGTTTTAAACATCGCAATGGTTTCACGGATTGAGGGCGAATGGTTTTCAACATGTGGTTCTCGCCTTGGTGCCGCGCACATTCGTGTTACACACTTGCAAGAGTTGCACATATCGAAGGATAATGGCGTTCAAAGTGTGGTTCTCGCCTCAGCGCCGCGTACATTGTTGTTGAGCATGTGCAATGGTTTCACGGATTGAGGGCGGTTCCTTTTCAAAATGTAGTTTTCGCCGTAGCGCTACGCACATTGTTTCGAATGTGCAAGAGGTTCCTGCATTCCCATGATCAGCGTACCAGAAATGGTGTTTTGGAAGTAGTCAACATTATGAGGGTGTAACAGTTACGATTGTTCGCAGTGTTGAAGTCCCAGGGATGGCGTCCTGGCACGATTCAGGATCGTCAAAACGCCACAGTCAAGTTGATCCGTAGCGTTGGAATCCCAAGAACTATGCGTTGGCATGCTTCAGAGTCTTCGAACGGTTGCCTCTCAACGAGGCAGTTCCCTTAGTGGAAGTGCATTGTTGTAGGGGCGTATGACGAGGGAGCTTGGGGGGAGAGTTTATTCCAACATCGTTGGTGACTCTTGGGTTTACACTGGTCCTCCTCCTCCTCCTCCTCCTCCTCCTCCTTCCTTCGCTCCTGCCGCCCCCGCCCCCGCCGCCGCGCGTCGGGCCGAGCTCGGCGCTGGCGCCAGGTCCTTCTCGAAGGTTCCACCCCGCCTCCCGCCTCCCCGCTTCGCCGTCCTCCTCGTCGCCATTCTTCTCCTCCCCTCCCCCTGGTCCCTCCGCTCGGGTGTCTCTCTTTGGGCCTCGCCTCGCTCGTCTTTCCAGGCCCTCGCTCGGCCCCCTCAGGGGGGCCCCTCGTCGCCCTGTGCGGGTGCAGTCTGGATTGGAGTTAGAGCTGGACTCGAGACTCGAACCCACGAGCAGATAAAATGCTCCTCCCCTCCCTCCCCCGCCCTGTCCGCTGGCCGCATTTCTCTGTCACATCCTCTCCGGGCCGACTGTCTATTCTCCTGTCCGTTCCGCACTGCCGCTTCCAGCGCTTCGCGCCGTCTGCCGCCCTCTCGCGTTTGTGCGTTGGGCCACCTGGGGCTCAGAACTGGG